GTAAAATTACAGATTCAGTTGTAAAGCCTCAGAGCCACAGACTCAGCCTTCCAGAAGCTTCCAACCTTCCACTTTTTGATTTCTAGTACAGTCATGGGAATCAGAATTCTCAGAATCTTAGAAAATAAGAATTTCAAAAATAAGAATTTTTTTAAGTCACTCTTAAAGGAATACAAACCACTCGTATAACCACAAGCCTTTTAGAAACATTAATTATACAAACAATACCTTGCTTGCACAAGTAAATTAGAACATTTGGACAAGGAAGAGGAAGCCCACCATCAACGATGGTCCTTGGCTCACATATGCGCACTCATACCTGACAACTGTGAGAACGTGCTGTGTTCTAGTCTGTTTTGTTACTGGACAGTGTATAGCAAATGCCACTTCTTATTCTGAATGAATGAAAGCGTGAGCCACTGGGCAGTATTCTCACGGGGCGGGGCAGGAGTCAGTTGATCTGGCTTCTCTGTTATAACCCAGGCTGGATGAACAGCTTCGGCTTGGTCTCGGTGAGCACCCAGGCTCATGATCGGGCCTTTGACCTGTTTACACGGGAGGGAGCCCTGGGCCGGAGGGGACATCCACTTTTACTGCAATTTCATATTCCTGGAGAGGTTGTGACCCCTTCCCAGCAGCTGGGTATGGCAGGGGTTGGGGTGCTGATGACTAGAATCATTGTCCTGGGGTCCCACACCCAATCTAAATACCATGTCTTTGGAGGTGGCTAGAGGTGGGTGGGGTCCTCCTCCCTGTCCTGACGTCCTAAGGAGAGGAGTCCGCAAAGGTCCAATGGAGAGAGATGAGCAGACCCCAAAGCATGGGTGTCTGGACCCCAGGATCTGCCAGAAGGTGCAGAGAGGCTGGCTCCCAGGGGCATGAGGCCACGTGAGTGGCAGGCCTTTACTAACAAGAAGGGGACTTGTCACACCAACCTGGCAACTTGTCCCTTTCTCTCTGCCCCTCTCCCCTCACACTAGGGGGTCTTCAGGGTCTGGCTCTCCCATGACCACAGGAGAGGGAGTCCTGGCTCTGAACCCAGGGGATGGGCAACATCCCCAGGGGGCCCAGCTCTCCATCCCCTGGCCCTGTTCCTCTCTCCAGGGACGAGGAGGTCCTAGGCCCCACGGCCATGGAACTGGAGGCCGAGCCATTGCCTGAGCCACCTGTGCAAGCGCCCAGCCCGGAGCCCCCAATGTCCCCACCAGAGGAAACGGTGAGTCTTTTTGAAGGAGAAGGCCAGTCAGGGACAAACCGGAAAGCAGGCAAGGGCTTCCAGGGTCTTGTGTGCTGTGGAGTGCTAAGCCCTCTTGGGGCTCACTTGACAGAAGGGGACAGAAAACAGTAGAGACAAAATTACTTCAGTCAGAAATGATCGCTATGAAGAAATTAGAACAAGTCATTGTGTGGGGGAGGAGGGCACTCCACAGGAGGAGGAGGAGGAGGAGGAGGAGGATTGCCCATGGGAAGAAACATACCCTCTGGTCAGCAGACAAAGCCTCAAGGCAAAGGTTTATTCTGGAACAGGAAAGCAGGGTGGTAAGGTGACTTGTTCTAGGAGCAGTGGGAGGTGGAGGGTGAGGGGAGGGGAGACTGAGGCCCACAGGAAACAACCAAACAGGGCCTTTTGATGAGGCAGGCCTTGCCCTGAGGGTGCTGAGGGGCCCGAAAGGAGAGGGACAGGGACAAGCTGAGCTAGAGTTTTAGGAACAGCCCTTTGGTTCCTGGGTGGAGGGTGGGTGGGAAGGGCCAGGACCAAAGGCTGGAGACAGGGACAGGAGCTGCGGTTGGTTAGGGGAGGAGGAGAACTGGGTCAGCACAGGAGCTGTGGGGTTCCAGAAAGTTCTAAAGGACAAGGGAGGATCCTAGCCCAGGTCCTGGGTGCCGCAGGAGCCACAGGCAGCCCTAAGCGGTCACGCCCGCAGGCTGAAGCTGCGGTTCCGGAGGCCCTTCCGGAGGCCTTTCCTGCGGCGGCAGCGGCCATGGTGGAAGCCCAGGTGACCCAGGTGACGCTGCGGGAGCTCCAGGAGGCCCTGGAGGAGGAGGTGCTCACACGGCAGAGCCTGAGCCAGGAGCTGGAGGCCATCCGCACAGCTAACCAAAACTTTGCCAGGTCAGGGTCAGGGTCGGGGCGCCGGGCTGGTCTCTACCGCCAGCAGCCTGTCCCGCTCGTCCCGGAGTGCTCACGGCCTTTACCTCCCCACAGTCAGCTCCGGGAGGCCGAGGCCCGGAACCAGGACCTGGAGGCGCGCGTCCAGCAGCTGCAGGAGAGGATGGAGCTGCTGCAGGCAGGGGCAGATGCAGGCGAGTCCCTCATGCGTCTCCTTTCCCGAGGGCAACGGGGGGAAGGTGGGCCCATGGCGTGTGTGGACACCTGGGGGAGGGCGAGGGGCCCAGGCTGGGGCACGCCGCGCCACCGCCCTCCTCCATCCCTCCACGCGCCCTATGCCTCTCTCTTCTCCTTCCAGCTGTCACGGGGGTCCCCAGTCCCCGGGCCACGGATGCACCTTCCCATGTAAGACCCCTCTTTTTACCCCTGAATCAAGCCTGCTGGACCCTCTGCAGACCCCGTACCCCATCCAGGCTTAGGGACCACCCTATCTCTTGGGGCTCCAGGAGGCAGACGCCCTTCAGCCCCACGTCTACCAGATATCCCTCGGTCCAGGCCTCCAACCAGGTCCCCTCTAGGATCTCCCTAGATTCCTTCCCCGACTCCCTCCGCTGTCTCTCGCCCCCTGCCGAGGGCGGTCGGGCCGGGCTGGGCTCGGATCGGGTCACCTGTCCCTTCTCTCTCCAGCTAGATGGCCCCCAGGCCGTGGCTCGGGGCCAATGCCCGCTGGTGGGGCCAGGCCCCATGCACCGCCGCCACCTGCTGCTCCCTGCCAGGGTACGTCCGGCTGCTCACGCCCGCCGCCGCCGCGCCCCCTCCTCGCTCCACGTACCCCCAGCCGCCTCTGCTTAGCTGCGCCTCTGTCGGGCGGGGCCCGCCGCGGGCAGGGAGGGTGCCCGAGCAGCCAATCGGCACAGGCCGCTAGGAAGCAGCCAGTGGCGAGTTCGGACAAGACTTAAGGCTTGGCCAGCGGACCAACCGCAGCTGCCCGCGGGGGCGGGGCGGAGTGCAGAGGCCTGTGGACCCTCCTCCGGGCGGAGGCGTGGCGAGTCCCAGGAGCCAATCGGCGGGCTGCGTCGCGGGGTACCTGATCCCGCCCCTTTGCCCGCAGGTCCCTAAGCCTGACCTATCGGAGGCGCGTTCCCTGCTCCAGTTCGCCGTTGCTCTGGCTGCTGCCGCCGCCTTGGGCTGCACTGGGTTGGTGGCCCGCGCCGACCATCTCGCCCCGGTCTGGCGCCAGCCGGGAGCCGCCTTCGCCCCCTGAACCCTAGAGCCCCAAGCCGGAGGGTTGGGTGACCTGCGCACGGCCCAGAAGCCGCTCCCACCGCCTCCCCGTGCGCACCGCTCCAAGCGTGGGTCTCCGCCCCAGCTCCAGCCCTGTGATCCGGGCCTGCCCCCTGGCGGCCGGGGAGGGAGGAACCGGGCCCGCGGTCGGAGCACGGGGCTTCTGGAAGGCTTGTAACCGGGAATGCCGTAGCCGCTGCCGGGGGGATGGCACGCCGCTTCCTTCCTACGGCCTGGCCGAGCCCCGACACGGATGGGCAAACTGCGACCTAGAGGAGGCAGCACAGGGCCGGGGTGGGCCGTCAGTGTTGCCTGCCCCGCCACCCTCGGCTCGCAGACCACAAATCCTTGTGCACGAGGCCCTGCTGTCCCAAGAACGTTCTCTTCCCGCGGCGAACGTCCAGTGCGAGCTCAGCCCGCTCTCTCGGGAACCTTGTGCTTTTGCCAGCCCCGCTTTTTCGGGGACTCCCGCGCCCTCCTCACGTAGGCTGCTCTCGGAGCCACCGCAGGCTCCGCCTGCCCGCCTCGGCAGTTTGGGTATTTATTGACCTGTCTGTCCCCCGACCCGCTGACAGGCTCCAGGACCCCAGCGCCCTAACCCACGTTTTGGATGCACTGAGACCCCGACATTCCTCAGTATTTATTGTCTCTCCCCACCTAGGACCCCACCCCCGATCCTCGCGAATAAAAGGCCCTCCCGTCTGCCCAAAGCTCTGAACTGCGCGGTGTCCGCTCTCTTTGCGTTGCGGGAAGGAGGCTGCTCGGTGGGCCAATCGGAAGGCGAGTGGAGGCGGCCAATGGCCTGGCGGGAAGCTCTCGGGGACGCCGAGCGGACGAATCGGGGGTGGGGGTGGGGGTGGGGACGGCGAGGGGCGTGGCCTCGGCCCCCGGCCAATAAGAGAGGGCTAGCGAGCCCCCGGGAGGCACCGCCCCCTGTCCAGCTGTGGCCCAGCTGTGCCACCCGCTCGCCGGGAAGAAGGGGGCTGGGCCGCCTGCGCGCGCGGCCATCCTCCGCCCACTGCGCCTGCGCGGGCCACGCGCCTGGGTTCCAGAGACTTGCTCAAGAAAAGTTGCTGCAAACTTTCTAACCCGTTTCCCTCCGCCCCTTCTCCCTGCCAGACCCGCCCCCCTGCGGAGCCGGGAATTCCGAGGGGCGGAGCGCAGGCCGAGATGGGGAGTGGGGGGGCCTTCAGAGGACTCTGGAGACGGAGGCGTGCAGAAGCTTAGTCTCGGGGCGGAGGTGGCTTCGCGCCCTTAGCCCTCCCGGACGGCCCGTTACCTTCTCCGTTGTCCCGATGGGGAAACTGAGGCCCTGAGCCTGAGGCACACGCGGGGGGAGGCAAAAAGCGCGGCCTGAGGCGGAGGGAAAACAAAAGGAGAATCACGGAGAGACGGGGAGGGGGGCGGGCACTCACACAGACACCGGCACCGAGACCCAAGTGGAGAGCTGGGCCTTGCATTGCTGCTGGAGACGCGGGGTCGTCGGCGGGGGAGAAGATCGGGGAGCGCGAAGGGGAGGGCGGAGAGGGGGGACGGCGGGGGAGGGGGCTGGGGAAAGCCCGAGGGAGGAGGAGAAGGAGGGAGGAACTTCCCAAAGTTGCAAAACATGGCTACCTTGCCTGCGGAGCCGAGCGCGGGGCCGGCGGCCGGGGGGGAGGCGGTGGCGGCGGCGGCGACCGAAGAAGAGGAGGAGGAAGCGCGCCAGCTCCTGCAGACTTTGCAGGCGGCCGAGGGTGAGGCGGCGGCCGCGGCCGCGGCCGGGGCCGGGGCGGGCGAAGCGGCGGCGGGAGCGGAGGGCCCGGGATCCCCGGGCGTCCCCGGGTCGCCCCCCGAGGCCGCTGCCGAGCCGCCCACGGGCCTCCGCTTCTCGCCCGAGCAGGTGGCGTGCGTCTGCGAGGCGCTGCTACAGGCGGGCCACGCCGGCCGCTTGAGCCGCTTCCTGGGCGCGCTGCCCCCGGCCGAGCGCCTACGTGGCAGCGATCCGGTGCTGCGCGCCCGGGCCCTGGTGGCCTTCCAGCGGGGCGAGTACGCCGAGCTCTACCGGCTGCTCGAGAGCCGCCCCTTCCCCGCCGCCCACCACGCCTTTCTGCAGGACCTCTACCTGCGCGCGCGCTACCACGAGGCCGAGCGGGCCCGCGGCCGCGCGCTGGGCGCAGTGGACAAGTACCGTCTGCGCAAGAAGTTCCCGCTGCCCAAGACCATATGGGACGGCGAGGAGACCGTCTACTGCTTCAAGGAGCGCTCCCGCGCCGCGCTCAAGGCCTGCTATCGCGGCAACCGCTACCCTACGCCGGACGAGAAGCGCCGCCTGGCCACGCTCACCGGCCTCTCGCTCACGCAGGTCAGCAACTGGTTCAAGAACCGGCGACAGCGCGATCGGACCGGGGGCGGCGGCGGCGCGCCTTGCAAGAGGTGAGGGGACCCGGGCGGCGCAGGTCCCGCTTTCCCGGGGACGCGCTACCCACCAGCTACCCCCCCCATGCCCACCGCTGGAGTCCGCGCGCAGAGCTCCTGGGACACCTCCGGCTCACACCTTCGGGCGCCCCCCAGGGCGCGAGGGAGACGTGTGGACGGAGCGGGCGCGCGCCCCGGGCCCTCGCCCCGACCCCACCGCGCCTGTCGCGGAGGCCGGGAAACCTCTTCCCTCCGCTCCGCTCAGAGCTCCGTCCCCTGTCCCATCCGTGTTCGTGGCTGGGGCGGGGTGGGGGCCGGAGGCATTGAGAAAACGGGGGCCGGGGCCGGGCCCTTGCCCCCCACCCCGCGTGGGGGCTTCAGCCTTTCTGGGCCGCGGCTCTTCCTCACCCCCCAACCCCCCTCTGGGCCCAAACAGCGTGGTCCGTCGTCTGTCTTTGTTGTGAAACGTGAACCTTCCCCAGCTCCGGTTTCCCTGTAACCCAAGCCCTTCCCCTCCCACCCTGCGCGGCGGCCTCTCGCTCCCTTTTCTGACGCCCCGGGCGGGGGGGCTGGGGGAGGCACCGGGAACTGAGCGGGCGGCAGCCTCCGCACCCTCCCGGCCGGCGCTGGGCCGCTTTCAGCCCACCCCGGGGCGCCGGGCGGCCGAGGGGCCGGGCGAGGAGCCTCCCGGGGCGCCCGCTTTAGCTTTTATGAGCAGGATCAGTGCTCCACTGCAGAGGCTCCGACTTGGGTGGGGGAGTCTATGACCCCCTGAAGCCTTTGGCTGCCAAAGATTGGCCTGGGGAGGAGGTGGGGCGGCGGGGGGCTTGCTGGCCAGCGGGGAACCCCGGCGATCGGGGCCACAACTCACAGTCCTTTCTCTGGCCAGCGAGTCTGATGGGAACCCCACCACGGAGGACGAGTCCAGCCGCAGCCCCGAGGACCTGGACAGGGGGGTGGCTCCGGTGGCCGCGGAGGCCCCCGCCCAGGGCTCTCTATTCCTGGCCGGGGCCGCCCCGCCCGCGCCCTGCCCCGCCTCCTCGTCCATCCTGGTGAACGGGAGCTTCCTGGCGGCGGGCAGCTCCCCCGCCGTGCTCCTGAACGGGAGCCCCGTCATCATCAACAGCCTGGCCCTCGGGGAGGCCTCCAGCCTGGGCCCCCTGCTGCTGGCGGGCGGCAGTGGCGCCCCTCCGCCGCAGCCCGGTGCCCCGGGGGCCGGCGAGGGCAAGACCTCCCTGGTCCTGGACCCGCAGACCGGGGAGGTTCGACTAGAGGAGGCTCCGCCCGAGGCCCCCGAGACCAAGGAGGCCCAGGTGGCCGCTGCCGGGACGCCTGCAGAGGAGGCCGCGGGGCCGCTGCCCCAAGTGGTGCCTGGGCCCCCACCGGCTGCCACCTTCCCCCTGCCCCCGGGACCGGTGCCTTCTGTGGCTGCTCCCCAAGTGGTGCCGCTCTCTCCCCCGCCGGGGTACCCGGCAGGCCTGGGCCCCGCCTCCCCGCTGTTGAACCTGCCCCAGGTGGTGCCCACCTCTCAGGTGGTGACCCTGCCCCAGGCTGTGGGGCCGCTGCAGCTGTTAGCCGCCGGCCCGGGCAGCCCCGTGAAGGTGGCGGCCGCCGCGGGCCCTGCCAACGTGCACCTGATAAACTCCGGGGTGGGCGTGACGGCCCTGCAGCTTCCTTCGGCCGCTGCGCCAGGTACCTCTCACCTTGCCGGGCCTTGGGGTGGGTGCGGCCAGGGGCTTCTGGGAGGTGGGCAGCCCCTCCCTGGCACCACCTGAGTCAAGTGGTGGCAGGAGGCCCAGGCCCCACAGCCCCAGTGCCACCCACAGGGGGGCTCGGAGAGGCCTCTGGCTGGTCCCCCCCCCGCCCCCCCATGCCGCTCCCCAGAGCGTTGTCGTCTTCACCCCCACACCTGGCCTACCTCTCGTCCCCACAGGAAACTTTCTCCTGGCCAACCCGGTGTCCGGCAGCCCCATCGTGACGGGCGTGGCCGTCCAGCAGGGCAAGATCATCCTCACCGCCACCTTCCCCACGAGCATGCTGGTCTCCCAGGTCCTCCCGCCTGCCCCCAGCCTGGCCCTGCCCCTGAAGCCAGACGCGGCCATCTCGGTGCCCGAAGGAGCCCTCCCGGTGGCCCCCAGCCCCGCTCTCCCCGACGTCCACGCCCTCGGCCCGCTTTCTGCACAGCAGCCGCCACAGCCACCGCCCGGCCCCGCCACTGCCGCAGCAGCCACCAGCCTGCCCTTCGCGGATTCCTCGGCTCTCCTCCCGGGCTTCCCGGCACCGCCACCCGAAGGGCTCATGCTGTCGCCTGCGGCCATGCCCATCTGGCCGGCAGGGCTGGAACTGAGCGGCGGCACAGAAGGGCTGCTGGAAGCAGAGAAGGGGCTGGGGACGCAGGCCCCCCACACCGTGCTGAGGCTGCCAGACCCCGACCCCGAGGGGCTGCTCCTGGGGTCTGCGGCAGGGGGTGAGGCGGACGAGGGGCTGGAGGCCGAGCCGAAGGTTCTGACGCAGCTCCAGTCGGTGCCTGTGGAAGATTCCCTGGAACTGTGACCCCCGCCGGGCCTCCTCACCTCTCCTGACCATGGTGCTCAAGATCCAGGACGGCCCGGGAGGAGGGGGCCGCTCACACACAATAGCTGCGAGCTGAAGATGCCACACACTACGGTCCCAGATGCCCGGCTCCCCGGCCGCTGAACCTCTCCAAGCCCTGCAGGTGCCGGGGGACTCACCCCTGTCCACTCCTGCCTGGGGACACTGTCCTCGGGATCAGTGGCCTCCTCTGTTACAGCCCTCTCCTTGCTTTGTGCCCCGAGTGAATAGGGGAGGTTTGGGGGTCCTGACTCGGGGGCTATGCCCCCCTCAACCTGGTACTAGCTGTGAGCTGAAAGCCCTGCCACATGGCTGGATGGGCAACCCCCTTGAGCCCTCTCCCGTCACTCCTTTAAACACTATTAATAGCTCCACCACCGCTTGGAGCCGGAGGGCGGAGGCCAGACAGTCCTGTGCCGGAGCCTGACCGAGCCTCCCGGCTGGGCCCTTCCTGCTGCAAAGTGAGCAGGTGTGTGGGGAGGCCCGGCTGAGGCTCCTCCTGGACTAGAGCCCTCCCTACCACGTCCAGCCCCAGACCAAAGATCCCCCTCCCCCCTGGGGCACCCCTGACCCCGTGTCTAGTTTGTATCATAAATCTTTATTTTTCTAGGACATGTTATGCCTCCGTTTCAATTAAAATAAAGTTAACAGACAACTAGAATCTCCTGGGGTGTGGGTTACCTTCTAAAGCACTTGCCCAAAGGAGACACTGAACCCTAAGAAGGCCCACCTGAGATTGGGGCTTTCTGATGGCTGCTCCCTGACAGGGCCGGGGGCCGGAGGTCAGTTCTGTGCTGACCGCTTGAGAAGCTGCGGGTCCTGGGGCCTCTGGGGCCTGCAGAAGGGGCACCCCCGCACCTCCCAGGTTCTGAGGAAGCAGGGGACCAAAGGAGCCTGCCTGGTCTTTCTTGCTGGTAACAAGGGTTCCACTTTATTTTGTTGCGAACAATAAATAATCTATAAATAGAATAGGGGAGGGAGGAGTGGGGTGAAGTAAGAATGAACAGGGTTGAAATGGCTGGACTCGGGTGGGCGCAGCAAACCCCTTCTCTGAAATTTCACCTTGCTGCCTTTCCCGCAGGGCTCCCTTCCTGCCACCTCTGCGGCTCCCAGGATGCAGCCCAGGCTGGGGAGAGGCGGTGGGAAGGGCAGTGGACTAGGCAGGGTGAGTCCCAGCCACTCTAGCACCAGGCAAACGCACACAGTAACGGGCTCCAAGAATCCGCCCCTCTCAGCCGCCCAGGATCTGGCCAAGGGGACCTGCTCCAGGAGGGGTGAGGCCCCAGGAGGGACAACCTCTTCACAGGCTCCTGGTTGCAAACCAGAGCCACAGGAGCAGCAGGTCCAGGACCAGGGGGGTGGGGGGGTGGGGGGAGGAGGGGCGCAGTGGGGTCACCCTCTCAGTAGTGTTGAGGGGGCAGCTGAGAGGCCAGGTCTGGGGACCGGCGGGCCTTCTCGGCCAGCAGCTGGTAGAAGGGCTTGGGGGTCCCCCAGTCCTCGTCCTCACTGCTGGAGCTGTCCTGCTTCACGATCCGGTTGTGCTGGAGGCTGAACCTGCGAGCTTTGATGCTGGGGGCAAAAGGGGGGTGGATCGGGGGTCACTCCTTCCTTCTCCCCCGGGGTACCTAGCTCACCCCCCAGAACCTGGGCTGACGGGGAGGTGGCAAGGGCCTATTCCTTCCTTGGCCCCCTCAGGGCAACCCCTGGGCCTCCCAGTCCCTGTCTGTACAATGGGGCCAGAGCCCTCCCTGCCCCTGCTACAGGGCGATCTAGGGCTGTGTGCTTCAGGGCCCGTGAGAAAGGAGCAGGTGGCAGCTGTGCCACCGTGGACGGGAGAGGGTGGCAGGGAGGGGCCGGGAGGGAGGGCGGAGGGGTAGTGGCAGGGAAATGAGACCCAGCTTCCTGCTCTGAGACTCCCTGTGGCAAGAGGGGCCCGAGGGGTCCTGACTGAGGCCATTTGCCCTTCCAAGCTCCACCGCAGAGGTAGAGCACCTCCTCCCGCCGTCATCCCCACCCCACGGATTTCATAAGAGCTCTCAACACCCACATCTTCCACCCCAGTGAACTCCAACCTGTTTCCCACATCATGAGGCCCGAGGCTCTGAAAATCAGAGCAGGAGCGAGGAGCCCTGGAGGCCCCTTTGCTCTGCCACCCGCGCCTCTGGGCTGGGGCCCCTCACCAGTATGGTCTCCGCTCCTGCTGGGTCATCACCCGCCAGAGCTGGGCCAGCTCCTTGGTGGCAGCCGTGGATGCGGTCCCAGGACAGGCTCTGGGACAGGAGGGAGGGGGTGAGGAGAGGCCTGCAGGGCAGCCCAGTCTGGGCGAAGGCCAACGGTCTGACCGCAGGAGGCCCCCTGCCCTCTCGGGGCCTTGGCTTTCCCGCCTGAGAACCCGGGTCTCTTCTATCCACCGTGGCCTGAAGGAGCTCAGGGCACACCCCCTGGTGCTGAGGCGTCACAGGGGGCTGGATGAACTGGTGGTTGGGAAGGGGAAACTATGTCTCGGGGTCTGTAGGAGACCCGTATCCATGGCTCCGGGTGCCAGGCCCTGGACTTCCTGTCAGGGCACCAGCTCTTCGCTGGGCATCGAGAGGCCCCACCCAACCCCCACCCCACCTTCGGGGCTGGGTGCCTCATCTATCCAGTCAGCCCCTAGAACTTTGGCCAGAAACCTTAGAAACGAGGGGCTCTCCTCCCACCGGGTTGCTTGTTGGACATGACCTTAGGGTGACTCTTCCCCAACCCCACCCCACGTGCTTGAGAACAGAGGCGAGCCAGGAGAGCAGAATGGAGAGAGGAACGAAACTTCCAGAGGCATCGCATCATCTGAGCCCCAGGCCCAGGCCCACCGGGGGGCAGTCTACCTCTTCCCCTTCTTTCAGGCTGTGGTAGCACTTTTCTTAAGCCTGAGTTGGGTCTCGATGCTTACAATTCATAGGCTTTGACTGCAGCACCAGGACCAGGGGGCAGGGATGTGGCTGAGGAAGGGTCAGGGGGTCATGTCTGGAGGGGGGCAAACGTGCCAGATGACAGGAGCAACATGCTCTGGGGGAAGGGAGGGGTGGACAGTGCAGGTCAGGCCCCACCCAGGGCCCAAAAGGACCCCCACCCACCGGATGTACTGCTTCCGGTTCATCCTGCAGAACATGATGAAGCCATTGACACACTTTTTCTTCATCTGGGGTGGGCAGGGGGCTTTCTTGTTTTCCTTGGGCTTCGTCGGGCCCCTGCCTGCACGGCCCTTCTTGGCCTTCCTCCCAGCCGTGGGCAGGATTGTGGTCCGCCGGGTGGGGGTCCACGTGCAGTCTCCGTCTTCGTCACTGGAGGACGGCAGGCCCTCGGGGTCGGCCTGAGTGTCCTGGTGGGGGACAGGGAGGTGAGGGCAGGCCGGGGACGAGGAACCACCCCACCACTGCCATGGCGGCCCCCCTCACCTCCTGCTGCTTCCACCCCAACTCAGTGTCAGTGTCTTCAGAGCTGGAGCTGGATGGCACCTTGCTGTTCTCACTCAGTGACAGGTAGCAGTGGTCTAGCGACACTGAGGACTGGCACAGGCCATGGGGGTCGGGGGCATCTTCGGGGGCCTCCGAGGGCATCTCCTGCAGTGGAGGGGGGGCAACAGAGAAAGCCAGGGGGTGTGAGGCGAGACCAAGACATCCCTTCACATCCTCACTCACTGCTCTCCTAGGACGTAACATGAGCATTAGAACCAGCTCAAATTGAAGACCACCTCGTCCATATCACCCCTGACATTCAAGCAAATGTTCCCAGGTTCCCACTGTGGGTCAGAGAGGGGCTGGCTGGGGCTCAGGTGGTCGGCACCCCCGTTCTGGGGCTGGAACTCTTAACGCCGAGTCTGGCAGCCCCAATGCCCCAGGCAAGTCTTAACTTCTCTGAGCATCGAGATCACCTACAGAGTGGTGGTCACCACACAGGCTTGCAGGGCTGAGAAGCACCTAGCACAGTGCCTGGCGCTTACTAAGGGCTCTGCTAAGAGTGTCCACTCTGGTCTCTGGTGCAGATTCAGTTACTCGTCAGAGGAAGCAGTGGAGATGGAGGAAGAGTCATCTGGGGACCCGAGCTGGGGCAGACCTCTGCCAGCCAGGCGATGAGCCGCTGGGGAGAACGGCAGCTGGAGCTCACCCCTGGGGCCCAGTCGGGAGGCTCCTTCCAACCGAGGATTACTGAGCTTATTCTGTTTTCAGTTTCCTTATCTATAGACTGGGGTCACAGGAGACCCTGGCTCACAGTTATGTGAGGTCTTTTATGGGCAACTGGATTTTAGCTCTTATCCTGTGCCTGGTTCCTTCCAAGTTCCCGGCACAGAGTGGGGTGCCTGGGGGCCAGCAGGGACTGTTCAAAGGGAGGGCAGATGGGGGCACAGACGGTAGACATGTCTCCAGAAAGACGAGGAGAGGCGCGAGCAGATGGACAGTGAGAGGGTGGGGGAGGCGGCTGGCTGGTGGTGGAAATGGATGAGTCAGTGAAGCAGGAAAGCGATGTGCATGGAAAGAAGGATGGACATGTCTGTGGACGGATGCCTACCTTGTTCTGTAGCGCCTCAAGCATGCTGTCAGAAAGCGAAGGCATGGGATCTAGCCACACTTCTTCAAAGAGAGCTGTTGGGGAGGGAACGCAGGGTGCCAGCTGGAGTGGAAACACCTCCCTCCAGGCACCCAGGTTCCGTCCCGCCGTCCCATCCAGGATCTCCTGCTGTCCTTCTCTGGATCTCCTGTCTTAGGTCCAAATCCGGCTCACAGGCCAGGTCCCCTGGGGCACCTCCATGCTGAGCAGAGGGAGTAGGTCCCTGACGTGGGCTCCTGGAGGCTTCCCCTTGCTGAGGGGCTTCCAGGACCACTGCCCCACAAGGCCACGGGGTTCTGGAGGTGGGGCCTGGATGAGATGCACCCCGGGGTACCCAGGACTCCCGAGCCCAGGACGGCACACTTGGTGAGTATCACCATAAGTTTTCTGAATGGACCAAGTGTCGGGTCCAGCCCCAGATGCTCACCTTGGGTCAGGAACTCGGTGCCATCCTCCAGGATCTGTTCTGGCGGCAGTTTTCCTGGGGAGCTGAAGAGGGATGGGCTGAACCCTAGGATCTCGCTTGGGTGGCCTGTCACACTCCAGTTGGCAATCTGGGGAGGCCCCAAGTCCAGCAGGCTCCCTGGAAAGGAAACATCAGGATGTGTCAGAGATGACCCTCTCCCCCAGCACAGCAGCTGACTTTGGGGAGATGATGTTAGATGTCAGGGAAGGGTGACTCTGTCAATTGTTCATTTTGAGTGCTTCAGAGAGGAGATTAAGAGACACAATGCCTGGCGCTATGTCATGGATGACCAAAAAACAGCAACAACAACAAAAAAATCAGTATCTGGTGTGCCAAATCTGGATAGACTGATTATAGCTACCTGGAGCTCTGTGTTAAGAAAGATTCTGAGGCAGTGTCTGGGCTCCACAGAAGCAATGTGTGCAGGAGCACCTGCTGGCACAGACCAGCAGGTACACTTACATACCGCTATGCTCACCAGACGTCTAGACCCTGGCCCCCTCTCCTCCCACCACGGTACTGCTCAGAAGGAAGTGCCCAGGAAGGGCCCCACCCTAGCTGACAAGGAGGAGAGATGAAGTTTTGGTCACCATGGGGGCTGCCCTCCGGGGTCCAGGCAGGAAGCCAAGGGTCAGCATCTGGGGAGTCCTTGTCCAGCTCCTCACTGGAATCATAGAACACCAGCTTCTGCCTGCAAGAGGTGGAATTCAAGAGGTAGACCAGTACCCCTGGGCCAGGAGCTGCTGTGCAGCCTGGGTCGAGCCATGTCCCCCGGGGTGTTGCCCACTGTGCCATGAGATAGAGGTCCCTCTGTGCTGGCTGCTGGGGGGGTGCAGGGGGGCAGTCAGGAAGCTTAGTCAGCTGAGGCACCTGCCCTCAAGGGGCTCCAGGCCTGGGAGGAGAGGCAGCTGTCATCATGTGCTGCCACCTGGAGAGCAGGGCTGTGAGGGGCCGGGTGGGTTCCAGTTGGACAGAGGGGGTGTGGTCTGGGGGAGGACCACACTGTGGTCAACCTGAAGGGTGGTGGTTTTCTAGGTGGACAAGAGAAGCAGTCTCATCAGGAAGAGGAATCAGAGGGTGAAAAGCCCAGAGGGGCCAAGGCCATGGCTCCCGTGGAGGGTGAATATTCAGTGGTGTTAAGGGTAAGATTCATGGGAGACGGACGGGGAGGGGGCTGGCAAGAAGTTCTCAGATGCCAACTAAGATATTTGGGCTCTGCCCCATGGGCACTTGGGAGAGCTTAAAGCCATGAACTGTCATGACCGCCCCTCAGGCAGCTAGGGAGGACGAGCTGGAAGGGTGAGATCGGAGGCAGGGAGGCTGGCCAGGGGCTGCAGCTCTGCAAGGATGGCCCAGAAGCAAGGCTCTCCTTTGAGCCATTGCCGCCTGCATGAAGCCAGGCCCATGGTGCTCTCTCCACAGATGCCAGAGAGGTTGTAAATTGAGCTCATTTCTCACTACCCCTCAGCCATCCCAGACCAGACGCCTCAGCCTCCTCCACTCAGAGCCCTTGGGGTTCCCTTACCTGGGATGGGGCTGGGTCCTGTTGAGAAAATGGATCCTCTCGGCCCCTTGCTGGGCCTTGAAGGCACAATAGAGGCCATCACCCGGGCCACCGATTCTGCAACAGCAGCCTGTGGGGCAGGGGCCGGGGGCAAGTCGGGATGCTTACTCCTGTGCCTGGAACTAATCCCGGGAGTCACACATACAAGGGTGGAGAGGAGCTACCGTCTGGCACAGCCTCTGCCTCCCTCCTAAGACCTCAGGCTGCAGGGCCTCTGTGTGAGGCTACGGGGTGCCCCAAATGATCCCTTGGTTTCTGTAACCCCATGTCCCTCTCAGAAGCTGTGAGGAAGCCAAAGTCCTGCAGTGGAATAATGTCGATGAAGACGATGAGAGCAAACAAGCGGAGAGGGCTTCCCACGCCAGCTCGGTTTTAGGCGTTGCATAGACTATTCAGTAGCCCTTTGCTGCAGGGTACCATTATTAGACCCATCTGAGACACTGAGATACCAAGTAACTTGCCCTAGGTCATACGATCGGCAGAAGAGCTGAAAAGCCCTTCCTCCCCTGGTGGGTCAGGGGCCTCCTCTGGGCTCCCACGGCCTCCTCAGCAACCACAGGAAATCTGGGTCACCTTGGACTCCTTCATGGGACCGAGGCACCAGCTCTTGCACAGGGCCTGGTCCAGAGATGCTCAGGGTGAGCAGGTGGGGGACAGGATGGCTCGGGGCATCTGTTGCCTGCCAAGTGCCCCAGTCTCGCCTGGCGCTCTGCTGGGTGTCACCACACCCTTTCAAGATGGCCCAGGGATAGGAGTCACAAGAGCGACTGCCTGCCTTCCTCCGGTTCTGTGACCCACAGCCTTGCATGAGGGCCATGCTGATGCCGTCCTACCCTTCCGTCCACAATGGGGCCCGAAGGGAAGAAGACAATGGGAGAGAGGCCCAAGACAGCATCTCTCTTGTCCACCTCGGAATCCCCAGCTGCTGGACTGGGCTCGGAAGACAGCAGGTGCCTGACAGGTTGTGCATAAATGACTAAGTTAATGGTGAGGGAAGGGAGCAACCTGAGAAGTCACAGTGGATACTGTTCTCAGCCATGTCCAGCAACGTCAGCTGTCCTCCCTTTCTGTCACCTTGAGGCAGGGATGATGCAATTTTGGGGTGACAGCAGGAGCTGGCACATCTTGAAGGGGTGGCAGTCCCCACCGCATTTCTTCCTTGCTGCTCTGGAGATAGGGTCATCCATTTCTTGGGCTTGTCCAGGGCCAGAGAGCGGCGAGGGTTCTGGGCCCGGGTCTGGCGTTCTGGGGGAGCAGACAGACAAGTGTCAGAAGGGGCCCAGAACATGGCTTAGGTTGGGGGCGTCTTTGCTCTGGGCCCCACAGCCTCTTCCAAACTTTGTCTAGCCTGGTCACTCACCAGCCCTTCCCAGGTAAGCCTGGATCCTCAGTTAGAGGTCATCTCAACCGAAGCTCCCTTCCCCATCCACACGTTCAAATCACCTTACAAGCTCAGAGAAAATACTGATGCCCAGGCTCCACCCAAGGCCACTGAACCTGACTTTCTGAGTGTGAGGTTTAGGCATAGGCATTCTTTTTTTTTTTTTTTTAATTTTTAGGCATAGGCATTCTTTACAGTACCCTGGATGAGTCAAAGGAATATGTAGCCAAGACTGGAAATCATTGATTAGGTCACAACTCCCATTTTAAAGACAAGTCAACTGAGGCTTGCAGATGGGAAGGGACATGTGGTCCATTAGTAGCAAGACAGAGGTTGGCCTGAGGATGCTTGCTTTCCACACTCGGGTCTTTCCATCAGCCCATGCTCCCTGATGCCCTGGTCCAGGATGGATGACTGATTTTAAACACAGTTAAGTGCTAACAGCAGCTTACGATCACTGAGCATTGACTGTGTGCCTCTCTACTCAGCATTGCTCCAGGGGTGTGGATGCAGGCTCTTTAAGATCAGCCTGTGTCCACCCCCAGGAAGCAGAGGCTCAGAGAAGGAAACCAACCATGCCAGGCCCCAGAGCTAGTGAGATGAGGGGCCAGGAGCTGAACCAGGTAGGTCTCACTGTAAAGCACTGTTAGGGGGCTCTGGGTAGCTGACTGGGCCTCCCTGGAGTAAGACGGCTCTGGAAAAGGAGCTTTGCTCCCATGTGACCTGGCTTCCTGTCCAGCCTCACTTGTACCTGAAAACCCTGTCAGTTTCTTCTTCCGGGGTTTCCGGCAGGCTCCCTGAAGACGGGACTTCCGAGAGTGTGGGGAGCTTGAAGGGGTGGAGTGTCGCCCCCGCATTGGGCCTGAGGCCGAGTTCCGACCTGCACAGCCTGGAGAAAGAGTCAGGTCAGAAGTCCCCAAACTCATGCTGTCCCATCTCCTCCTTCCAGACCATGCTTCCCAATCCTGGGCAGAGGGCTGGACAGCTCTGGTCTCCAAGCTGACTTTACAAATGTGGAAACTGAGCTCCCAGGGGGAGACTGCACTGGTCTGAGGTTGCATGGCCAGGCAGCAGAGGTTACAGGGTGAAAATTCAGGTTCCCACAGGACCATTCTGGGTTGGCCAAGAAGGAAGATAGACTCAACACTTCCCAAATGCTTCCCCACCATCAGCATCCCAAACCAATTCCTCTTCCTACCTTCCACAGAGCAGTGAAAGCCACCCATCCTGGCTCACCCAGGGCCTCTCCATCAGGCCTCTCAATTCTCCCTCATTAACCTCGCCCAAAGGTATCACTTCTGTCCACAGCCTGACCCGCAGTGTAAGACCGCCCTGTCTCCTGTCCAGATCACTCCCAAAGGCCTTCCTACTGACCTCCCTTACTCTAATAACCAACAACCAATTAATACTCAATCCTGCTCACTAGATATCAGGCACCTCTTCCTAAAAAGAAAATAAATAAATAAAAAATAAATAAAAATCTGATCGTGGCTTTCCCCAGCTTTTAAAAGTCCACCAGTTTTTCTCATCTTGGTCTCCCTCCCTTAGCCAGGCACTCAAAGCCCTGCAGGGTCTGGTACCTGCCTCACCTCCCCTCACTCCCACCTATGGATTTGTCATGCCAGCGACAGCGACAGCACCCAGCACATCATGCAGCACCGGATGACCAACTTGTCACAGGCACCAGGTGACAGCACTTTCCATGGGTACTAACTCATTTAACCCTCACGACAAACACAGAAAGGAAGTACAGTGACCCTAGAACAAGCAGGGTTTAGGGGAGCTGAACCCCGTGCTGTGGAAAATCCCCCTCTAATTCTGACTCCTCCAAAATTTGACTATTAATAGCCTACTGTTGACCAGAATCCTTACCAATAACATAAACAGGTGATTAGCATATATTTAGTACATTATACGTGTTATATACTGTATTTGTACAATAAAGTAAGCTAGAGAAAAGTGAGTGTTAAAAAAAAACTCATAAGGAAAAAGGCTTTACAGGACTGTACTGACTGGATTTATCTAAACACATCTGTGTGTAAGTGGGCCTGTGCTGTTCAAACCTGGGTTGCTCAAGGGTTGGGTATACTAGTATTGGTTTCATTTTGCAGCTGAGCAAACTCAGGCACAGAGAAGTTAAGGTCACAAGACACGTGTTTGCAACAGGACCTGGTTCATGAGCCTGTACATATTGTCTTGATGCGACAGTCCCTCCAAGCACACCAACTGCCTGCCTGTCCCAGACATTCCACACACATCTTCTCGGGCTTGCATTCTGCTCACTGCTGCTCTGGTCTGCCAGGGCGCCCCCTGCTACTATTTGCACAGGCCCAGGTGCAAGGCCCCAGACACTCCTTCTCTGAGTTCACAGCATCTTGCACGTCTCTCTGACTTTGTCTGCTCTGCAAGGCTCTGGGATCCCTGGGGACCTGGGCTCATTCATCATGTAAGTCAGTTGTGTCCCTGACAGCCAGGACAGTGCTTGGTATGTAGCAGGCCTGGGCCATGGTGACTGCACTCACCCCCACGTCCGCCTTCTCCATTGGTGGTGTGGAATTTGAGCAAGGCCTTGGCCACATCGATGCTTCTCTGGAGGTACTGAATGTAATGCAGGACATGCAGCAGAATCTCCTTCTGCTCCCAAAAGAAAGACAGGATTGGGCACAAGAATGGGGGCCCAGGACAATGTGAGGCTGCTGGGGAGCCCACTCCCCACCCCAACAATTCCTCCATTGGCAGACATACTTTTATTCTGTTTAGACCTTGCTGTAGCTCAGGGAGGGATTTGTTATAGCTAAGGAAACTGAGGCTCAGAGTGGTGGTGTCATTTGCTAAGGTTAGAGAGGAAGGGGCAGAGCTAGGATCCGAACTCAGGCTGCCTGCCTCCTGGCCCAGTTTTTTCAATACATACTGTTTGGTTTACCAGCCCTGGCCCTTTGCACATGCTGTATTCTTTATCTGCAAAGCTGTCCCCTTCCCCCGCAGGCCTCCACCTCCCACACTGAGGACTTATCCTCCTCTGAGCCTTAGCACAGTGGTCTCCCCTTCCAGAAGCTTTCCCACCTCCCTGACCCCTCATACGCAGTCTTGGTCAGATGTCCCTCCTCAGCACTCTTGTAATGCCCTGGGCCTATTTTATAATTATCTGTTCATGCATTATTCTCTCTCATTGACTTTGAACTAGTTGAGGGTAGAGGCTGTAGCTAAGTGATTTCTGTATCCCTTGCTCACAGAATCAAGAGGTGGCTTAGCCAGTGATCGCTGAGGATTATCTCCTCGCTGGCACTGAGCACAATGCCTTCTGCCCACCAGGCATCACCCAGTCAGCCACCCAGTACTAAGTCAGTACCAGAGACACAAAGCTAAAAAAACTACTACCCACCGAGGGCCAGGTATGTAGGGGTGAACCAGAAATACTTTTGTTTGCCTTCATGGAATGTATAATCTATTTTTAAAAATATTTTATTTATTTATTCATGAGAGACACACACACACACACAGAGAGAGAGAGAGAGGCACAGACACAGGCAGAGGGAGAAGCAGGCTCCATGCAGGGAGCCTGATGTGGGACTTGATCTGGGGTCTCCAGGATCACACCCTGGGCTGAAGGCGGCGCTAAACCGCTGAGCCACCCGGGCTGCCCCTGGAATGTATAATCTAGTGAGGACACTGACCCTTAGTAAATTTGTAAGTCATACAAAATTATCAATGGTGTGATAAGCATTATGAATAAGAGTGTAACAAGAGATTCTGAAATTGGACTTGAGTGTCTGGAAAGACCTCCAGCATTTTTTAAAAAGATTTATATATGTTAGAGAGGGGGAAAGAGCAGAGGGAGAGAGAGGATCCAAGCAGTCTCTGCCCTGAGTGCAGAGCCCAACGTGTGGCTTGACGCGGGGCTCAATCTCACAACCCAGAGATCATGACCCTAAGACCACAACCCTGAGATCAAGCCTGAGCCGAAACCACAGAATTAGACACTTAACTGACTGTGCTACCCAGTGCCCAGGCCTTTAGCATTTAAACAGAGACCAGAAGAATGACAAGAATTAGCCTGGTGAAGAGGTGAGGGAAGAACACCAGTAAGCATTTCTTGGATTGAACTGGATCTATAGAACACCAATAAAACCGTTAGTAGCAATCTTCCAAACCCTAGATGAGGAAACATGGTGCCACAGAGGGAGAGGTGTGAAACTCTTCATAAGCTTGAATACTGATGGTCACTGAAACAATGTGACCTGACCCAAGGAAGGAAGCTATAATCTAACTAAGGAACATGGGCAGGAGACTGTCACTTTGTTTTTTTTTTAATTTTTATTTATTTATTTATGATAGTCACACAGAGAGAGAGAGAGAGAAAGAGAGAGGCAGAGACACAGGCAGAGGGAGAAGCAGGCTCCATGCACCGGGAGCCTGACGTGGGACTCTATCCCAGGTCTCCAGGATCGTGCCCTGGGCCAAAGGCAGGCGCCAAACCGCTGCGCCACCCAGGGATCCCGAGACGGTCACTTTGGAAGGACCTGGATCCAATCTGCCACTTCCTGGCTGTGTATCGGGAGCAGACCATTTTAGCTTTATGAGCCTCAGTTTTCTCATCTGTGCAATGGGAATGAGAATATTTCTTGAGGCTCAGACAATTATTGTTAGGACTGAATAAATTAGCTTGTGTGAAATCGCCCAGCACAGAGCCTGATACACTAGTTGCCTAATAAATACTTCATTGATGATGGAATGAGAATACTTTCATCAGGTTCTCAAAGGATTAAATGAGAACTTTTTCTAACTTTGAAAACCGGACCACAGGATTTTCAAGAGCAGACAGACATTTTATCTCCAACATCAGGCTTGGCACATCATTGGCACGCACTAAAGCTGAAGTGTCTATAATCTGTAAAGTAATATCAAATGTTTTTTTCAAACACTATTATTAATAATATAAAGGTTTTATGCAGAACGTAATTGGATTCAGTATATTCCAATTAGAGATCAGTAATTGATGCTTCAGGAAGGTTAGCCTGTGGGCCACAGCAAGGTTTCAGATCCCAGAGACCTTCTGAAGGGAAGATCGATGGGTCCTATAAGTATCTCAGTTGAAGGAATTCACTCTTGCTCATTCATTCATTCAACCAACACCTACTGAGTGTTGAGTAACCAAGCAGATGAGGATGTGCACCTTTGGAATGACACACATGTGACTCTGCCATTAACGAGCTGTGTCCTCTGGGCAACATGACCCCTCTGCGCATCAGTGTCCTCACACTGGAATATGAGCACACCCAGATGCACCTCTCAAGCCTTGGGGTGGGGAGGTTAAATGAGAAAAATGTATATAAAATGCTTGGCACTCAGGATCTGACACCTAGAACCCTCAGTAAATTGGGAGAAGTTGTAGTTGTTGTCTGCTCTGTGCTGGCCCCACAGATGCTAGGGATAGAGATGTTTCCAGTATGGCAGTATGGTCCTTACCCCTCACAAAACCCCTCATCTCAAGGGGTCAGAGGTAGGGCACCTGGGTGGCTCAGTGGTTGAAGGTCTGCCTTTGGCTCGGGTTGTGATCCCAGAGTCCTGGGATCGAGTCCCACATCAGGCTTCCTGCAGGGAGCCTGCTTCTCCCTCTGCCTATGTCTCGGCCTCTCTTTCTCTGTGTCTCTTAGGAATAAATAAAATATATATATAAAAAAATAAAGGGGGGATCCCTGGGTGGAGCAGCGGTTTAGCACCTGCCTTTGGCCCAGGGCACAATCCTGGAGACCCGGGATCGAATCCCACATCGGGCTCCCGGTGCATGGAGCCTGCTTCTCCCTCTGCCTGTGTCTTTGCCTCTCTCTCTCTCTCTGTGTGACTATCATAAATAAAATAATAAATAAATAAATAAATAAATAAATAAATAAATAAATAAATAAATGGATCAGAGGTAAAGAAACAGTCACAGGATTGTGCCGAGGGCTTTGATGGTCAGAGGGAGAAGAACTCCCAGGACCATATGGGGCAGGAGCCCACTTCATCAGTCAGGATGGTGAGGAAGGATGACACAGACCTAAGCCGTACCCTAAAACACAAACATAGGAAAGGCAACACATAACAGCTCAATCCATTCATTGAGCGTCAGGCTGAGCATGTCGCATAGCCTTGGCACAGGTTGTGGTGACATGCTTCAGGCAGACGGGTACATGGGGAGGCTGGGGAGTGACCAGGACACAGGTTATATTTGGAACAGGAGTCTCAGGATGGAGCCTAAGAAAGGATGATGGTGGAGAGGAAGAGGGATCATTGAGACATCAGAGGATTGATGGTGATGAAAGCAGCCTGAAGCCTGGGGAGAAGTTCATGAGGTGGTCATTTGGTCAGTGATGAAATGTCACCCATCACCTGAGTCGACTGTCACTCCTTTGGGGCGGGGACTGTGACCCAGTCATCTCTGCCCCCCCCCCAGAGTTTATTATAGTACCTATGCACACCACATACACAGATGTTTGAGGACAGAGGAAGAAATTCCTCAAGCATTTCTGAGCACCGTGGTGGTCTGCTTAATGTCTGTCCCCGAGCACGTCCATGTCCTAGACCCCAGAGGCCTGTGAGTATGCTGCCGAATATAACAAAGGGGACATAGCAGATGTGACTGAGTAAGGATCCTGAGATGGGGAGATTGTTCTGGATTAACCGACTGGGCCCAGTGTGGTCCCAGGGGTCCTGACAAGCAAGAGGCCGGAGGCCGAAGGCAGAGAAGAGGTGAAGTGAGGATGGAGGCGGAAGAAGAGCAGGAGACAGCTTGGAAGATGTTATGCTGCTGGCTCTGAAGGGGCCGTGAGCCAAAGAACACAGGCGGCTTCTAGAAGTTGGCAAAGGGAAAGGAAACGGATGCTCCCTGGGAGCCTTAGAGAAGGACCAACTCTGCTGACACCCTGACTTTAGACCTGCGTGGCTTATTTGGGGCCTCTGCCCTCTAAACCAGGCGAGAACAAATTTGCGTTGTTTCGAGCCACTGAGTATGTGCCACTTTGTTAGAGCAGCTACGGAAAGCTATGGTACAGGCTGACCACCATGAGACATGTAGGAGGGAGAATCAACACAACCTGGTGGTGACCCATGGAGGGGGCACCAAGGAGGTTAGGGTGGGGGTCTGGCATTGTTCCCCAAACACCCACTCTCTTGAGCCTTTCGGAAGGCAGGTAGCCCATTCTAGGTGGGAGTCAGTTATTCTTAAGTTCGAATCCTAATTGTCCTGACCACATTCTGAGTTCCCGGAGGATGAGGAGCCGGTCGCAGGTTCCTTTGGCTCCCCTCGTTGCAACCAAAACTTTCGGCTTCTGACCTCCAACAGCCTTTCCAGAAATGATGATGAGTGAGTGAATATGTGACGGAATGAGAGGAACTATGGCAAGAAAACACGGCACCAAGGCTTCAAGATCTCTGAATCCCTTTATACAGTGTTCCCACTGGCGGCAGCTCAGCACAGTATAACATTTCCCCAGCAGCCACTGGGGACATACAGAGTGGCTTTATCTCTTGTTACCTCGTGGAGGTGATGCCCCCAGGACACAGGATTAGGGACCTAGTGAGGGAATTGACATTTCTTTGAGGACCGTCATGGCTCATATGTCATTTTGGCCTCAAAATATCTGTGGGTAGTAGGTTTGTCTTCGTTTTGACTGAGAAACGTGATGCTTGAGAGGCTGATAGGCTGAGGGCCCTGCCCAGAGTCCGGCCGTTTCGGGCCATCGGGCTCGAACCCAGGGCTGTTTGACTCCCAAAGTGATGGCCCTTACCCCATGGTTTGCAGATCTTCCCTCTCCCACTTGCCCCTGCATCCTTTGCAAGAAAGGATCTTGAAGGCTCCTATTGGTGGGACCGCAGAAATGCCCACTCTGGGCAGGACCATGCCCATCTCAGCGTTGTCATTGAGAGGGTCTGCATCGGGGCCCCGGAGAAGGGAGGGTAAGCTGGGTACTGATATTTGCAGACCTGCTCCCCTCACCCTCCCGCCTCCTCTCCTTCAATCCCCGTACCTTGGTGAGCTTCTTAATACCCGTCTTCAGGGCTACAGGCAGCAGCAATGCCAGCTCATGCAGTTTGCTGGTGTGGTTTTTCCTCTGCCTCCGGGTTTGGGCCGAGAGCTGGTTTTGGTGAGGACATCTGAAACAGAAACTGGCCCCTGATTCCCAAACCACCGGCCTTAATGTTCCTCATCTCAGAGAGGCTCCCCGTCCCCAGGCCCCCAGACAGAATCCTGGGAATCGTAGGTCTCATCAAATCTTGCCCATTCCCCTCCCAATCCCTTCTCTCCTACCCCTGCCCCAGGTCACATGTGGACATCCCCCTAGCTCTCCCAGCCTCCTCCCTGGCCTCCTCCAATCCAGCCTGTTTACTAGACCCAGGGTGATCTCTGAAGCTGCAGATCTGGCCACAGTTTTCTCATCTGTGCAATAGGAATGAGGATATTCCTTAAGGCTCAGAGGATTATCAACAGGACTGTGTGTGTGAAATCGCCCAGCACATAGCCTGATACTCTAGTTACCTAATAAGTGCTCCGAACCTCTTGATACCATCCTATTATTAAGGACCAAGTGTAAACTCAACATGGCTTATAATGCCCCCCCAGACCTGGCTCTGCTGACCATACTCGTCTCATCTTTTACTTTCTTTGGTTCTCTCAAATCAACTGGCTCTGACTCCACTGGACAGATGAGGTACCACTGCTAAGGGCCCTCAGCCCCATGCTCATACATTTCTCTGAGAGCTGGGGAAGGGGTGTGGACCACTGTATCTCTAGCATCCAGAACAGGGTCTGGTACACTGTGGGAACTCACTGAATATTTGCTAAATAAATAAAAAGGGTATGACAGAAGTTGACTCCTGGGCTAATGCAAAACTTCCAGGATCTAATCCCTGAATTCATAATTTATAATATACCTCCCCACATACACCTCTACCTCTCTCTTGACAGATGGGGACACAAAGACATTGGAGTCTCTCTCCCAAATTACAGGCCACTGCCACTACTCACATGACTCCTTTGGGAATGCCCAGACATCCCCATCTCCACCAGTCCCTGTGTCACCTTCCCTCAGGGCTCTGTTCAATTGCCACCTGTCCCAGGAAACCTCTGGCAACCTCCCTCACCCTCCTCTCCTGTTCTGAATATCCATAACACTTTGTCACCTGCGGCCTGGCCACGCCCAAAATACTCTATTGATTATCCACGGGTGTTTAGTTCCTACTCACACCCACAACCTGGCACCTCTTCTTTGCCAGACCCTGGGTTGGACCCCATGGAAGGAGAGAGAAATCATTGTCACTGCCCTCGAGGAGATGGGGGAGCAGTGTGGGAGCTGCACTTATCTCCCTAACCAAACTCTGAAGTCCTAAACTAATTTTTCTCATGCATTCATTCAGCAATTACTCATGGAACACCTACTATGTGCCAGGAATGCTGTTAGGTGAGGGGATAGAAGTATAAAAGCCAAAATCCCCTTCTAAGTGCCCACAGTCCCATCAGGGATAAAGTCATTAATCAACTTGTCACACAAACAAACATAAAATTCCAATTAGGACCAGAACCAGCTATATAACTTGTTGGGGAGGGGAGCCTTATGAATGAAAACGTGGGGCCCCCTTTTTAAAAATGAAGCATTTCAAGATGGCGAGAACAGGGCATTAAACCAAGCCTCAGGCTCCTCTGTAACTGCATGAGTCACACACCCAGGAAGTTGGCCCTGATGGAGACAAAGAAGTGCTGCTTGGTGCTATGGAAGCTTGAAACAGGTGGCTTTGAGCCACTCTATTTTTTTTTTTTAAGATTTTATTTATTCATGAGAGACACAGAGAGAGAGCGAGGCAGAGACACAGGCAGAGGGAGCCCGATGTGGGACTTGATCCTGGGTCTCCAGGATCACGCCCTGGGCTGAAAGCGGCGCTAAACTGCTGAGCCACCCGGACTGCCCTACATTTTCCCTCAGGAAGTAAACCTGGCCAGAATTAGTTCTGAAAGATGAGTGGAGATAAATAGGTGAAGAGGGAAAAAGCACATTTCAGAGAGAGGGAACCTGTGCAAAGGCCCTGTGGCATGAGGAAGCATGGAGAACTCAAAGGAACTAGAGCTGCAGTGTCTGGCATACAGTAAACAAGGAGTCTTGTGGGGTGAGACAAGGCTGGAGGAGATGGGGTCAGATGAGGCAGGGTCTCAGAGGCTCATAGTAGAAAAGTTTTGCTTTTATCTGAAGCCCACCAGGAAACCACAAAGGGGCTTTATGCAGGGAATGATACTATTAGTGCCCCCTCTCAAAACCAATACGAATATAGAAGACTATACATATTTGTCAGCTAAATGAAGGAATGAAAGAGAAAACAAACAAACAAACCCAAATCTCTGGTCTCCAGTTACCTCCTGGTAGAAACCATAATTTTCAGAGGCAAGGGCATTGGGGTGCTATCTTTGGAGGTAAACGAGGTAGGGGGCACTCTAAAGTCCTGTATAGCCCTGATATTTACTTTTTGTACACCACTTGCCTTCTGTTCTAGAGGACTCCCTGGAAGCCCCAGTGAGAGAGGACACAGAAAGCAAGGGAAGAAAAAGCATCCAGGCTTATTAAAGAGATAGGTGTTCCCTGAGCATGTCTGAGAAAAAGAGTTGCGTACAGTAGTCCTTAGGTGTTTACTTGGGTTTTTGGCAAAGCATTGAGAGCCTTCTATGTGCAAACACAGAAGTTGCAGGGGGAAAAAAAATTCGAGGGAGGAAGAGGGTGACGAGGCATCACAAAATCTTGGCATCTGCTAGGCAGTAGTCCTAAGTAGGTGTGACCTGGGCTGTGCTCCTAGAGCGGGAGGCCTCCAGGAGCTGTACTTCCTCCCAAGGCCGTCCCTTTCCTTGCTGGATGGTTCTGGTTTCAGACAAGTTCTTTCCTCATGAGATTTGTAATTTTCACCAATCCCAGCTCTGCCCTCTGGGTCTTCAAGGAACAGGCCAGCTCCAGCCACTTGGGTCCTTTTTCTGTTTCTCTAAGCTGCCAAGTTTCTTTCTGCCTTAGGGCCTTTCCTATTCCCTCCACCTGGAATGTTCTTTTGCCCTGATTGTTGTATGGCTGGTTTTTTCTTTGCCATTCAGCATTTAGCCTAGATATAACCTCCTCAGAGGGGCTTTTCACAACCAACAGATCAAACTAAGCATATTCTGGGTCACATCCCCGTATTATTTATCAAAATCTGAAATCTTCTTTCTCCATTATAAACACCACAGGGCAGGGATTTTTGTCTAGTTTATTAATTGTCATATCATAGACTGACTTACCCTTTAGACACAGTAAGCACAGTACCTGTCTGGTGCCACTTTTAAGAGCTCATAAAAATGTTTTCTTTCTTTTTCTTTATTTATTTTTAAGATTTTATTATTCATGAAAGACACAGAGAGAGGGAGGCACAGACACAGGCCCAGGGAGAAGCAGGTTCCATGCAGGGAGCCTGATGTGGGACTCGATCCCGGGTCTCCAGGGTCATGCCCTGGGCAGAAGACAGGAGCTAAACCGCTGAGCCACCCAGGGATCCCTCTTTTTCTTTTTTAAAGATTTTATTTTGGGGCACCTGGGTGGTTCAGTGGTTGAACATTTGCCTTTGGCTCAGGGCATGATCCCACAGTCCTGGGGTGGAATCCCGCATAGGGGTCTGCACAGGGAGCCTGCTTATCCTTCTGTTTATGTCTCTGCCTCTCTCTCATGAATAAATCAATAAAATCTTTTAAAAAAGATTTTATATTTAAGTAATCTGTATACCCAATGTGGAGCTCGAACTCACAGCCCCGAGATCAAGAATCGCGTGCTCCACCGCTGGAGCCAGCCAGGCATCCTAAAAATGTTTTAATTTCTTTTAATATCTATGCTGATGGGCAGCCTGGGTGGCTCAGTAGTTTAGCGTTGCCTTCAACCCAGGGTGTGATCCCGGAGACCCGGGATTGAGTCCCACATCGGGCTGCCTGCATGGAGCCTGCTTCTCCCTCTGCCTTGTCTCTGCCTCTCTATCTCTCTCTGTGTGTCTCTCATGAATAAATAAAGTCTTAAAAAAAATAAAATCTATGCTGATGTTGTTGTAAACTAAAACTTTAAATATATTTTTAATGGAGGAAGAGGCCCAAGAAGGCAAAATTGCTTAGGGCCCATGATAAGTTGTATGTGGCCCTGGCCAAATCCCTAGCTTCTAGAATAACAACCAGCACTTAGTGTTTCCTCTTCCCTGAGCTAATCAGCCTGAGCCCTCCCTAGTTTATTTTATAGGAGCTGGAAAAGCCAGTCCAAATTTCTCATATTAAATAAAGGAAAACCAAGGTCCAGACCCTAACTTGCTTTAATGTGTGCAGAGATTTAAGAATAAGCGCTGTCCCAGGGATGCCTGGGTGGCTCAGCAGTTAAAGCATCTGCCTTCGGCTCAGGGCATGATCCTGGAGTCCTGGGACAAGTCCCACATCAGGCTCCCTGCATGGAGCCTGCTTCTCCCTCTGCCTGTGTCTCTGCCTCTCTATCTCTCTCTGTGTCTCTCATGAATAAATAAATTAAAAATCTTAAAACAAAACAAAAAAAAGCTATCCTAAAGTGGGACATAATGGGGGACGATCCCAAGAGGCAGCATAATAGTTGGTTTTAAGCTGTAGCATTTGAATAAGACAGACTCAAATTGAAATCCCAGCTTGCGCCTTGCTGTGTGACTTTAGACAAATGTTTTAACCTCTCTGAGGCGGTTTTTCACTCATTTCTAAAATGGAAGTGGCTAGAAAGTTGACAAATGGAGTGGAAGTACCATGTTGGATAATTATAGTTGATAAAATTGTTTTTTGGTTGACCAACAGTTAATCCCCCTTGTCTGGTAATACTTTCCTTTGGAACTGCCCCTCCCCCACTCTGGGTCCATGTGGTTCAGAGAGGTGGATTCCAGCCTCCCGCTCCACTAGGCAGCACAGAACTAAGGTCCAACTGGGAAGAGTCACAGTGATTGGATCAGGATTGGGGTCATAACCCATGTTTGGCCAAACAGAATCAAGGGATTCCTAAAAGAGACTCTCTGCTGGGGTTTTCAGGCTAGTAGGATGTGGCCCTGGAGCTTCTGGGAGCTATCTTGCCCTCACAAAGGGAAGGCCTGCTTGACAAGGAAGCCAACACAGGGCAACAACAGAGCCAAGAGAGGCAGGTTCCTGGCAACATTATTTAGCCCTCACCCAGAACCAGCCAAGCTTGATGCCCCTGAATTTTTAGTTCAAATGACCTGATGAATCTCCTTTTATGCTTAAGCTGGTCTTAGCTAGGTTTCTGTTACTTGCAACTAAGAGTCTTTATTAATATAGTGACCCCTCCCCACATCTAGAAAGGAGGGAAAGACTCCCTCCCAATTGTTGGTAACCTCTGGGATTCCAGGAGGAATGGGCTGCACGGGACAGGCCTTCTTCATTTTCTTCATCGTGCTCCTTCTGAGCACAGTACCTAAGTAGAGAACCTGAACAAAGCAGATGCTTAAATTGGAAGTTAATAAATGAATGAAGAGATGGATGGACAGTAAGTCATTTGGGGAGATAGTGAGGATAAGATGAACTCTGGCTCTCTTTTCTTTATCCAGGCTTGGGAGGGAAGGAGAAATCTGATCGGACTCTCCATTTGCTGTGAACATCCCTTCTATGAGATTCCTAACACTTAGGAGGTGCTTGATGAATGAATATATGAATAAAAGAAAGGAAGGCAGGGCATTTATAAACTCAGAATGTCAAAACCTGCAGGGCCTCTGAGATGATCTTTGGCGATCACCCAGAGTTCTCTCATCTTAAAAATGGTGGTAATATTCGCACCTACTTCCTTGTGGAGTTGTTGTAAGGATTAAAGGACAAACAAAAGGGCTTAGCAAAAGTCTAACAAACAGTAAATGCTCAGTAAACATTATTGTTATTTTTCAACCAGAGTTTACAAAGCTGGAAGGGAGATAGGCAGGGGAGAGCCCTTACCTGTCACTGGAACCCAGGGAACTGGCTCTGGGCCATTCAGGGGAACGCAAGTTTCTGCTGGAGCCCCACATCTGCAAAGAGGGAAAAAGAAAGAATTATTAGTTACCTCGGGGATTCCAGGAGTAATCGGCCACAAGGTGGGCAGCCTTCATTTTCCCCATGTGGTTCCTTTGAGCTCTCAGAGATCCCAAGAGTCCCCAACTCCTAAGAATATGGGCCCAGAGACCAAATTCAAACTCCTAAACTCTAAACTGAAGTTCATGAATCCCAAATTGTAAATTTGGGTCAAGTCGTGATCCGCACCCAAAACTAAAAGCAGCAAATTCCCCAACTTTAACTTCAGAACTTTGGTCTTAACATTGAGATATTAGACCGTCAGACCTGAAAACCGTGGTTTGAGACTTCTAGACTTCGATGTTAAGACACCAGAACTATGACTGTAACCTCCCAAAGTGAGGATCTAAAACCCAAAAAGGTGCCCTCCCAAGCCTAAAAGCCCTAAACTCTAATATTGAAATACTCTAGACCTCCAAACTGTCCACTTTTGATCTCCAAAGACAACCCCCATCGCAATCCCATTAAGATCACAGACCACAAACCTTAATAGAGAACCCAAACCCTAAAGTAAGAAACCCAAGCCCCCCATTCCCCCCCACACCCCGAGCAAACAACAGTCTCCCAAATTGACCTCGGGTCCAAAAATAAAGATCTCTAGACCCCTGAAAGCCACTTTAGACCTTCAAATTGTGACCCTCCCAACCCTAAAGTTGAAATCTCACATGTGAGTCTCAAAATTGAAGCCCCATACTCAACATGGGGACTTCAGGCCCTAAAATTTAATCCTCAAAGTCCCAAATTGTGACTCTAGGCCCTAAACTCATACCTCATACCTCATACTCTATACTGAGATTCTAGACCTTGAATCTATCCTGAGGCTTCAAACTTCCCAAATCAGACCTCAGGCCCCCAAGTTATATTCCAGAACTCACAACTAAGACTTCTAGATCCTAAAATTACGATCTCCAGATTTCAACAGGAAAGCTTCCAGTCACAAAAGCCAACACCTTCAGATTCTAATCCAAATTATATCCAGATACAAAGCTGGAGATCCCAGATCCTATCTCGTGACCCTAAAGCCCCCACACTATTCAAACAGAGCCCTCCCTATCTCAAACTTGAGCCTGGATCCCCAAACCCAGGCCCAGCCTCAAACCCGAACTCCAGCTCTGCTGCCCCTGGCCTGCCTCGCTCTGAGCACCGGGCTCGCCCGCCTTCCTGTCCTCCTGAGAGCCCCCGAGGGAGGCCACGACCACAGACTGCTGCTCCTGAGGGGACCCCAGGCTCCCTTCAGGCGGGTTGGTGGCGGGGCGTCCCCCGCCCCGTTCTCCTCGGCCTCTAGCACCCGCCTCAGGACGTGCAAAATGGCGTGAGGCCCCCCCTTCTGGTTTCACGCCAGCCCCACACTCGGGAGCCTGATCAGATAGCGTCTCGCGCGCGTCCCGGGAGGCTGGTGGTGCGCGCGAGCCCCAGGCAGGCCTCGGCCACTGCGTTCCCCACCCCGGCGTGGGGTGGGCGCGAATCCCCTTGGCTCGAGGCTCCTGCGCGAGGCCTGTGGAGGAGACCAAAAGTGAGCAGCTGAGGCCAGGCCACGCCCCCAGCAGTTCCCGCCAAGGTGTGCTGGGCGCGAGACTGGAGAGGGGAAACGGCAGGGTGCAAGTGGCCGTGCGCAAGCGCGCCTGGGGAGGCGCCCTGTCTTCCAGCCCGGCTCGAGCTTGGCCTCGCGCCTCACGACAAGGCCTTTGCTGGAGCGCGCCAAAGTGCCGGCCAATCAGCGCTCAGTCAGCTGCCCGCCTTTTCCGTGGGCCACGCCCCCGCCTGGCCACGCCCCCCTCTGGCTCCAGCCCCCCAGAGACCAGGGATCCTAATAAGGAGGCGGGGTCTCCCCAACTGCCAACTCTCAGGAAGAAAGAGAAATCTAATCAGCCTCCTTTCTGGCCCTCTTTCCACCATTTTCCTTCGCTGCATATCTAATGAGGGCCTACTGTGTGCCAAGGATCGTGCTAAAGTTGGGAATTTCGCCGCTGTCTGTCCGGTGCAATCGGGAAGGCTCACAGATCTTGAGAATCTAGTGATGTTAAAGAGCAATAAATTGAGAAAAGATTCAAAGAGGAGAGCCATTGGAACTGGCCCTTAGAAGCAGCTCTCCGCACGGAGACATATATTCATTCCTTGACAGCAAACGCTCTATTTTATTTTTTTATTTATTTATGATAGTCACAGAGAGAGAGGGGCAGAGACACAGGCAGAGGGAGAAGCAGGCTCCATGCACCGGGAGCCCGACGTGGGATCCGATCCCGGTTCTCCAGGATCGCGCCCCGGGCCAAAGGCAGGCGCCAAACCGCTGCGCCACCCAGGGATCCCAAACGCTCTATTTTAGAAACCTCTTCCTCACGGCGGCCGGTGAGGGTGGCCTGGAAAATAAAGCTTGAGGGGAAGGGATGTAACGACCTAGTGGAGAGTAGAGGCCCTGATGTCCAACACACTTCCGTTCAAACCACCTTTTTGCTGTGTTGCCATGGAGAAGAGGCGTCACCTCTTCTTGCCTTAACTTTTTCAATTTTGGGATAATACTTGCCTTGTGTGCAGGGTGTCTGGCAGGTGGTTAGTATGCAGTAAATATTGCACAACACTTGTTCTGGGTGCTTGAACGAGATATGCAAAAGTGTCTGTCCTCATGGAGTTTCTATGATGTTGACTAATTCCTAATTCACGGGAACCAGTGAAAAATTAGTGGAGGTGATGGTAAGAAAATCGGGGGAAGAGATGGAAAACCGTTGGAGAAAGTACAAGGCACTGTTAATTATTATGTTAATGTGCAAAAGTAACTAGATACACTTGCTCCTTCTCAAACCCTTCAGCCCTCACAAATGTCTGCAGTTTGCTCAATTTCTTTCCAAGGGCCCCGGGCCAAAATGGAGGAGGCTGGACTCCATCTCCCAGTGCGCCTCGCGGGGGCGCTCTCCCGCGCCTGCGCCGCAAAGCGCCCTCTCGGCCTCCGGGGAGATAGAGTAGTTCCTGTCCTCAGCCCGCCCAATTTGCTTCCTTTCCCCACCTCCAAGCGGGATCATGCTGCCTTCTGGGAGGTGTAGTCCGTGGCCGCTCGGACTCCAATTCCCAGGGGGCTTCGGGGCGGGAACCCGGAAGGGGAGGCTGGAGAGGAGCGAGTGGGGGAAACCCGCGTAGCCGAGAGAGCTGCGGCGCGGGGAGATGGTGAGAATCTCGAGCGGGGGCCGGGGGCGCTTGAAAGCTGGGGCGGGGGTTCGGAACCAGGTGCGAGAAGGAGGAGGCAGGGGCTAAAGAAGGGGCTGGACGAGGAGAGATCGCTTTGGGGAGGGGTTCGGGAGGAATGGGAGCCGGAGGGAGTAGTAGAAGAATGGGGGCTGGGGAGGGGTCTTGGAGGTGGGGAGGGAGTCGAGCTTTGGGATTGATTGTAAGAGAGGTCAGAGCTGGGGAAGGGAGTCCCGAGTTGGAGAAGGGGCTGGGCGTCCCGGCAGAGGCCCTGAAAGGAGCAATTTCGAGGTGGGTAGCCTAGGGGATGCGGAAAGGCTTGGGGGTCAGGGCTAGATGGATAAGTGGGTCTGTAGGCTCCGAGAGAGAGACCAGCTGCGGATGCGGTGGGTTAGGGCCTCCTGATCGGATTGGGGGCAGGAGGGCAAGCTGAGGTGGCGGGGGAGAGAAATCAATGGTAGAGTGGTGTGTTGGTTAGGCTGCCGTGCTGGGGATGGGGTGGGGAGCATGGCATTAGGCGCCTGGCTGTAAGGATAGTTTGCCTAGACTAGCCCGAGACTCCAGAGAAACTGGACAGAAGGGGCCATAGAGAGACCTTTTGCACTCTCATTTCTCCAGTGGGATCTCAGAAAGTATAGTGCTTTCTGTGCTTTGACAGTCCAGCATTCAGATCTCTTACCCTGTCACTCCTTTGTGACCTGGGCAAGTCTCTCCTCTCTGGAACTTGGTGCCCTTATCTGTGTTGCGGGAACACCTTGGAACAATTTGCCACCGAGAAGAGGGGAGGCTCCTTAAGATTGTTACCCTCCCTTGCAATAAGTCCTTAGTCTCCGGAGCTGTTGGTGGGAAGTTCCCCACCCCAGGAATGTGACTGGGTCACAGGTGCTAATGGATTCCCTCCTTAGCAGGCCAACCCCAGAGGCGTTTTTCTCAAAACCTGGCACTGATCTTGGCACACCCCAGCTTAGAAGCATGCAGGGGCTCCCCACAGTAGATTACAGCTAACACTTACTGTTTAGGAAGTGCCTGGCTCTTTTCTTAACGCATTTAATTCTGACAGCACCCCAAAGGTATAGGTGCAGTTAGGTTGCAGAGGCACAGAGAGCTTAAGCAACTTTCCCAAGGTCATCCAGCATTAAGTGGTAGATTCGGGATTCCAACTGAGGCATACTGGCTCAGAATCTGCTTTCACCACTCTGATTTCTCCCCTTGCCTTATACTGAAATACAATGTTATGAGTAGGGCAGAGACTCCAGAAGAGAAGTGGTCTTCAGTTCAAATTTTAGTCCTGCCATCCATTTGCCATGTGTCCTTGGGCAAGTCTTTCAGCCTTCCGAGAACTATAAAATGGGATCAGTAATCCTAGGAAGGTTAGAGGGCCCAGAGAGGTAATAAGCACATAAGGTTCTTGGAGTAAGTGCTCAAATACACACGTGTTGTCATTTTTTGAACAGGGAGTGGGAAACAGACTTGAGAGAGAACATAGGAGACAGAGGTTGCTTTTTCTTCCTCCCACAGGCTGCCCCCATATCTGGCTCGTCTTTTTTCTCACCCTCTACCCTTGGGCTTCACGTCGAAGGGTGACTCCCCGATGGGGTGCTCAGAAACTCAATCTGTCCCCATCCCGATCCCCAGCCAAATATAAATAATTCACTTGCTGATGCCCAGCCTGGCCCAACTCCAGGTATTTCAGTGCATAGGAAATATTTCTAACAACTCTGTTTTCTCCCTCCAACATTTTGGTTATTCCAGCCTTAGTGGGCAGTTTGGCAACTTTGTAATTCATCTTGAAACAGTTTGGTTCATTTGTTGTGAGGCTTCCTGAGTTTATCACTAAAGTTCTCTGGCACTGATAGGAAAGCTTGTGGTTAAAAGTATTGGCCTTAGATAGGCCCGGGTTCAAATCCCTACCTCTGCTGCTGTATGTCCTTGGCCAAGTTGTGTTCCCACCCTGGCCCTCAAGTTTTCTTGTGCAAAATGGGGCCACATTCCAAACATGGGGCTCTTGTAAAGAGTTGATGAGGTTAACATCTATAAAATGTGTAGTGCATATGAAGCTCTCAAGAAGTCTGAGGTCTTTTTATGATTTTTATTCTTTAAAAAAATTTTTTTTAAGATTTTTATTTATTTGACATGAGGAGAGAGAGAGCACAAGCAGGGGGAGCAGCGGAGGGAGAGGCTCTCTGCTGATCAGGGAACCCAGTGTGGGGCCCAGCCCAATGCTGGGATTGTGACCTAAGTCAAAGCCAGATGCTTAACTGACTGAGTCACCCAAGCACCTAATTTTTATTCTTTTAAGAAAAAACTATGGAGCATGTGCTTTGGAACCAGAACACTGAGATTTGAATCCTGGCTTCATCACACACACTTAGGCAAGACACTTAACCCCTCTGGACCTCAGTTTCTTCTTCTAGAAAATGGGCATTCATTCCCTGAGTGCTCCACAGTATTGATAGAGCACCTACTCTGTGCAGACAGACACCCTGCCTTGGGGAGCTCCTTGTTGTCACAACGCTGGTGGCATTCGTGCTTATTTTTCTGGTTTGGGTTTCCTCTTACTGATTCATTTGCAGCCCCTCATGCTAGCTCTGCCTCCTTGTCATTGCGTCATTACTTTCAGGGGTCTTTAACACTTTGTCTTCAGCTCTCAGTGAATTATCTGAAAGCCTCTTGATTTGGGGGAAAGTTTGGCAGCCTGTATGTCACATCTGGGTCTCCTGGGGTAATGTGACACCTCCCCCCCCCCTTTCCTTTATTTGTCTTAGGAAATGTGTCTGCTTTCCAAGTCATTTTGCCTTTTCTGAAAATCTTCAGTGTGCTTTCAGCCTGTGCTTGTCCGAAGCTTACTCATACAAAATGATATTTTTACCATTTCTAATGGTGTATTTCTAGCAGCTTGGGTAATGCCATATGACTCCTAAAACCACAAGTTTTCTGAAAGGCTTGGCTCATCACCTGCTCCATGATGCCATCCTGACCCCTCGATTAAGATCAGAACCGCACTTCCAGTCCTCTTACTTGCTATATTTGTTTCCCCACAGCCCTTGCCACCTTGGAACTTACTCAATTTTTACTGTCCCTGTCACCAATTAGTATGTCAGTCCCACGAAGGCCCAGGATTTTTTGTCTCCTTTTACCCGTATACTCCTAGTGCCCGGAGCAAGTGCCTGGCACACAGTAGCTGCTCTGTAAATATCTGTTTGATTAATAGTTTGGAGACCTAATACCCACCAGTATCAAAGGAATGACCTTTGGTGACTGTGAGGGACCAGGAAAATAAAGAGGGTTCAGAACATAAAATAAAGAGGGTTGAAATCTTTGGTTTAGTCAATGATTTCCAAACTCCTAGGTACTAAGTCTCCCCTTCCCTTACTTAATAAGCCCAGAGCCTGAAAATTGAGCCTCTCCTTGGTACCTAGCTGACACTGAGCCCTCTGCTGGGTTGATTGTGAATCATCAGGCAACCCGTGGGTGGATACTGTTATTAGCTGCATTTTACAGTGGAGGAAACTGAGGCACCAAGGGTTAAGCACCCTACCTATGGTCACACCCCCAAAAGTGGGAAAGTGGGGTGTCTGCAGGCCCTGCCTGGGTTCTGCCTGCATCCCAAATCTCTAGATCCTGAGGATTTGGATGATTCCTACCACTGGGGAGAGCCTTTGGAAAGGAAGATTTGAGAGGGAGAGAGGCCAGCAGACCCTGAGGTCAAAAACCCAAGGGAGGGATGAATCAAGATTATGGACAGAGTGGGGGTCGGGGTCCAGGGGGTGGGGGATGGAAGGAGCAGGACCAGGAACAGAGCCCCAGTATCCTGCCACCAATTCCCGTGTGACTGTGAACCAGTGCATTCCCTGACCCCCTGCTCTGTGCCCGGCCCTATGCTGACCTGACCCTGACAGCCCTGACCCTGGGACAGAGGCACCCCAAGAAGGGGGCGGGCCTCACTCGAATCAGAGTGAGGGGGGCCAGGCATCCACTTTGTATTCCCTTCTTTCTTTCTTTGCTTTATTCTTCTATAGTTGACATTGTTTCCAACTTTTTTCTTTTTAAAAGGTTTTAGTTATTTATTTGAGAGAAAGAGTGAGCATGCACCAGTAGTTGAAGGGGCAGAGGGAGAGAGGGCATCCCAAGCAGGTTCCATCCTACTACCCTGAGGTCGAGACCTGAGCTGAAATAAAGAGTCAGTTCAACTGACTGAGCCACTCAGGCACCCCTTGTTTCTAACTTCTTGAGGTGCACGCTTAGCTTGTTCATTGCTAGCCTTTTTCTTTGTGCATTTGTGGAAACAGGTTCTTTCTAGACCTCCTGCAAGCTGTCCTCCCAGGCTCTCCTTTCACCTTTATCTGGGGATTCCTTTTGCCTCCCTTCCAGGCTGGACCTGTTTCTTTGATCTGATAGCTCCTTTTCTTCATTCACTGCTTCATTTTGGGGAAGCAAATCCTCCGGTAGTTTCCTGAGAAGGGCTCCCGGACATGGCATTTTTGTTTGTGCAAACTTACACCTCTCACAGAAAGGTTTTAAACAGGGGAGTGATATGGTCCGATTTATGTTTGAAGCAGCAGTCTCTCTGGCTACAGGGAAAGGATAGAGCCTGAAGAGCTAAAGTAGGCCAGTGAGCCAAGTGCGGAGGCTGGAGCAGCTGTGCTTTTGAGGAGAGGTCCCAGCCTTCCAGAAACCCACAGGCTGGAGGGGGGAGAGGCCCTTACCCAGTTCATTGTCGTTCAGCAATGTCAGTGACAGGTGCTGCCAGCAGTCGTCTCAGGAGGAAGAGAATCCTGAATAACTTGGGAGGACACTGGAATAACTCCTGGAGGAGGTGCCATCCTGCCTCCATCCTGGGAGCAAGATTTCCACACGTGGACTTGGCTGGAAGCAGCCAGCTTTTCCCAAGAGGTCCCCAGTAGCACCTGTGAAGACAGACAGCAGGGTGGTGTTAGAGGAGTCTGTTCAAATAAACATGCATTGCACACCTCTGATGTGCTAGGGCATGACTTCTCAGATGTGCCTATGAATCCCCTAGAGAGCTGTCAAAGTGCATGTTCTGCAGGTGTAGGGCAGCAAGAGAGACACCATTCCTAATGCATTCCCAGGGGCTACTGCTCCAGGGAACTCACTCAGAGGAGCCAAGAGCTTGGTGCTGTTCTAAGAGTTGGGGATCCAGCAGTGAAATTAAGTAGGCAAGAATACTGGTCCTGGGAGAGCTTTCCTTTTAGTGAAGGGAAACTGATAATAAACTTTATAAATAGGGACTTCTGGGTGGCTCAGCGGTTGAGCATCTGCCTTCGACTGGGGATGTGATCCTGAGTCTGGGGATCAAGTCCCACATCAGGCTCCCCACAGAGAGCCTGCTTCTCTTTCTGCCTATGTCTCTGCCTCTGTCTCTCTCTATCTCTCATGAATAAATAAATAAAATCTTTAAAAAAAAAACTTTATAAACAAAGTTTCTAGTACATTAGATACTGATACGTGCTAAGGAAAAAAATAAATGGGGAAGAGAAAGGCGAGTGTGTATGGCCATAGGTGAAGGGCACTGCAGTGTTAGAGGACCCAATGAGATGATCCGGACAAAGTCCCACTCGGTGACTAAACCTGCTGGCGCTTCCGGAACTCCTGCCACAAAGCCGAGTCTGAGGGCAATTGCTTCACCATTCCGTGCCTCCACGTCCTTGGAATGAGGTTAAAAATAGTGAGATGATATGAAAATACAATGAGTTAATATTTGTAAAATGCCTGGAGCAAAGCCTGGCTCCCAGTGCTGGGGTGTGAACTGCCATTGTGATCAGTTTCTCTCTTGATAGATTCATGTGGGTCATGATGGTTTACTTGGATGTCTGCCCCCTTTCTCACAAGCTCCTTCTGGTGAGCTCAGCGTCATCTCTGCATGCTCAGCGACTAACTCGGAGCCAGCACACAGGAGGGCTTCGGAATGTCAGATAAGGGATGTAAACTGGATTCTGGAATGGCTGGGGGCATTCCACCGAGAGTGTTGATCTTGTGGTTCAGTTCCTTATCAATTTTATCTCTTCAGCCCATCTCTTACGGAGAGATCTACTGCAGTTTCTCATAAGAATTGTGGATTTGCTAAAGTGTGTACCAACAAAGCGTATTGCTTTTTTGCTTTATATATGAAGCCATCATGTTAGCATGTATATTGAGAACTTTTGTGTGTAACAGGTCAGTTTGTTTCGTTACCACCTATGTGCCTACTTCTACTTTTTGCTTTTGTCAGCTGTTACTTTTTTTGTTAAGATTTTACTTATTTATTCACGAGAGACACAGAGAGAGAGGCAGAGACATAGGCAGAGGGAGAAGCAGGCTCCTCACTGGGAGCCCCATGCAGGACTCGATCCCCAGGCCCCAGGATTACACCCTGAGCCAAAAGCAGACACTCAACCGCTGAGCCACCCAGGCGTCCCTGTTACTTTTTATTTTTTTTTAAGATTTTATTTTGAGTTAGGGCTTGAACCCACAACCCCGAGGTCCAGGGCTGAGCCAGCTGGGCACCCCCCATTACTGTTTTGTCTTTTTAATGATATTGTCACCCTTCTACTTGTCTCTTGATTCACATTTGTCTAGTCTTTTTCCATTTTTTAAAATTTCCAGACTTTCTGGGTCATGATGTTTTACAAATAGATGGATCTTCATGGAGCATTTTCTGAAAGCAGACCTAGTAAAGGGCCTTTTTGTAGAGAGCTCAGTGTGGGGGAATTAGAAAATTGTGCCCTAGTGACCTAGGACACAGATGGAACCTGGGTGTGAAACAAGGTTTACACTTTATGTTTAAAACATACATTTTTAGGACATGTTGCTGCAAGGGAGGGAGCTTTGCTCCATTCTGTCATTCCCATGCTGGCCAGTGCTGCTGGGGACACCTGATGACCCTGATTACTCTGGCCCTTCTGGGTTCCCTGTCCAGTAGAGGAGACTGATCCATCCCTACACAGTGATAACTCAAAGTGGTCAGGGCTAGGATTTGGGACCCAGAGGCCCTCCTCTGGGCGGGTGGCAGGTTTCCAGGAAGGGAGCTCAGGCAAGCCCTCTCTGTTAAAGCTACATTTGAGCAGAGACACAAATGAAATAAAGAACTGAGCCATATGGATATCTGGGAGGAAAGCAATTCCAGTTAGTGGGAACAACAAAAAGGCCACGGAAGGGGAGAGCTTTGTGACTCTGAGGAGTAAAAAAGCAAGTTGGCCAGTGTAGGAGCCTAGAGGTGGAGTCTGACCCAGCCTGGTGGATCAGCTTCTTGGAGGATGGAATGGCTGAACTAGGATGCCAGAGAATAGATAGCAAAGCAATAATAGAGCACAGTGATCCTGAATCAGATTCTTTGGGTTCACATCCCTGCTCCAACTCATACCAGTTCTGTGCGAGCAACCTGTCCTGCTTCAGTTTCTTTATTCCTACAGTGGAGAGGCTAATAGCTTCTACTGAGGATCAGACAAGGCCCAAGTACTCTAACTTCTCTCTATGTCAGATCTGGTGCCCACCTCGGTCCACTGGGGGTGTGGAGGAGTGGGGAGGGAAGAGGTTGGACCTGCTGGGTACCTGGGCTTTTTTCCCAAGGGCACTGGATAGAGTCTTGGTAGGTTTTGAACAGGATAGGGTGGGGTCTGGTTGGTGCTTTAAGACCTTCTGGCGGTCAGGCACAGGATGATAGGAAGCAGGCAAGGGGGGGGGGCAGGGTGGTGGGGGCACAGCTGACTCCTGGATTGATGCCTGCGGTGGAGCCGCCACCTTGGGGTGTCTCTTCAATCGGCCTGGCATTGAAAGGATCTAGACCAGCAGTGTTCAACAGACATACCATGCGAGCCGTATGTGTAACTTAAAAACTTATAGTAGCTACATTTTAAAAAGCCGAAAGAAAGAGAAGTTAATTTTTTCTTAAGATTTTATTTTTTCATGAGAGACACAGAGAGAGGCAGAGACATAGGCAGAGGGAGAAGCAGGCTCCATGCAGGGAGCCCGATGTGGGACTCGATCCTGGTATCGAGTGATCCACACGTATTTCCTAATTCGTAACAGAAGCCCCCCCACCGCCAACTGCAAAAAAAAAAAAAAAAAACAGTTGAGCCCAAGGCAGATGTGCTTAACCGTTCAGCCACCCAGGTTTACCGAGATGAAGTTAATTTTAAGTATCTTGTTTAAAGTATATCCTAAGTATTATTTTAACAGGTAATTAGTATTTAGAAAGCATTATTGGGGCATTTAATATTCTTTTCTTGTACTGAGTCTGAATCAGATTTGGGGGGCTTGGTTGGAAAGGCTGAACAGAAAGGTACTTTTGGCCACACAGCCTGAGCCTTGAATGCCAAGCCCAGAGGCCGAACCCAGTGCCGCAGGAGTCGTCGCAAAGTTGTGCCATTTGTTCTTCAAGGATGAAGTGATCCCGTTGCCCAGTTTCCCCCGCAGGGAATCTCGCTCTTCCGGGTTCCCAACCAAAACCTGGGCGCACCTCTCTGCCGGGTTTCCTTCCGCCCTCGAATCTCCATCCCCGAGCCGCTTGGCCCTTTAAATCTCAACTGTCAATCAGAGCTCCTGTTGAGAGGGAACGTCCTGCAATAAACCTCTCCTTTGAATACCGTGGCCTCTGTCCCGGCGTTGTTCCTCCGTTTTAGCAAGAAGTTGGGAATTGTTCGACGCTCTCTTACACTCGGCCCTTTCCACACCCCCGTCACCTCTCGCCTACTCCTCCCTCTTTCGAAGTTAGGCCCCTTCGCCAAGGCCTTCCTTATATGGGCACGGCCCCGAACGGCAGCCGCTCATTGGCTGGGGGCGTCACGCGCGGGTCTGTCAACAAAGGGGCGGAGGGAAACTAGTCGCGCGCTTGGCCGCGCGACGTCAGGAGGGAAGGAGCGAGGGGGCGGGCCCTCTCCCCTCCCTTGCGCATGCCTGCGTGCGGCCACCCTCTCCCGCCGCAGGGGGGCGGGGCTCAGGGATGAGGGTACTTCGGGGGCGTGTCTAGCTTTCGAGGGTAGTCTGAGTGGGTTGGCGGGGTGGGGGGGGCGGTTACAAAATTGAGGGGCTCCCTTTGCACTTAAGCGGTATTTGGGGGCTTGAAGTGTTTGTGCATGGATGTGGGGGATTCTTGGGGTTCCCTTGGGGTTTAGGTTTTGGGTTCTTTTGTAACGTGGAAGTTTCAGTTGTATTGTAGGGGTCTCCTTTGTGGTTTGGGATGGTAGGTGGGCGTGTGATTTGGGGAGCTCCCGGAGAGACTTAGCAAAGTCAAGAAGCCAGGAGTGCCCGTGTTGGAGCCGGAATGCCTGGGCTTTCGCCTTTCTCGAGTTCTTCCTACCTGTCTGACCCGCGATTTGGGGTTAAACCTTTCTGTGCCTCATCTGGACACTGGGACTAATACACTGCCTGCTTCCTGGGGACCCGGGAGGATTAGCAGGAATTGTTAGAACAGTACCTTATAAGCTCCACTGAGCCATGCGCCTTGCAATAAGCACGTGTCATTGGTGAGGATTCTTCGGGAGTGTTTGCGGGGGTGGTATTTGGGGCTTTGGGAAATACATGGTTTGGAATTAGTCTTATGTGTTAGGGAGCTTTTATGTTTTCATGAGGGTTTTTTTTTTTTTTTCAGTTGGCGGTGGGGGGGCTTCTGTTATGAATTAGGAAATGTGGAGATTTAGAAAGTGTTTGAAGGGGAGTATAGGATTTCAGGAAACTGGTCTTTTGGGGCATGTGTGAGGTTGGGAGATTGCTGTGTGTGTTGGAGTAGTCGGTAGACGTGGGATTTGTGAGGCGTTCCTTGAGATTGGGGCCTTCTGTGCTAAGGGGATATTTATAGGTTTGGAAGTTTAAATTAGGATTTGAAAGGGTCTGGATATTTGGGGGAGGGCGTTTGTATTCTGGAGATGAGGGTAGGAACTGATTGGAGGATTTCAGGGAGTAGCCAAGTTGTAGAGATTGTATCTATAGAAAATGGCTTTTGCTGTGTTCATGCCTGTTCCTGGGCATTTAGATGTGTTGGTGGCTGGTAAATTTAGCCATCTATAGGTGGGCTCAGTCTATACTACAGGGGTCAGCAGACTTATTATAAAGGACCTGATACTATTTTAGGCTTTTCTTTAAAGCCATATATCCTCTGTTGCAACTCCTCTGCCATTGCAGTGTGAAAGTGGCCATAAAGAGATGAGCATGTTTCAGTAAAATTTTACTTGGAAAGATAGGCAGGGGGCCGTATTTTAATAAGTAAAACCTTAAAAAGAGAGAGAGAGACAGAGAGAGATGGAGGATTATGCTACCTGTTGGTCCTGCAGTGGAAAGTGATCATGTCAGACTCATTAGCAGAATTGCCTCCAGATTAGATCATGCACGAAGTCGTTGCAAAATAAAATGGTCATTGTTGAGAGAGCCCTGAATTGAAACGTTCTAAAACCAAGTTTGAGGGGCTATTTTTTCTTTCTTTTTTTTTTTTTTTAAGATTTTATTTATTCACGAGAGACACACAGAGAGAGGCAAAGACATAGGCAGAGGGAAAAGAAGGCTCCCTGCGTGGATCCTGATGCGAGACTTGATTCCAGGACCCCAGGATCATGATCTGAGCCAAAGGTAGACATTCAACCACTGAGCCACCAGGTGCCCCTTGAGGGCCTGGTTTTATGCTAAGTAACCCTTCCTACTCAGTCTGCCAGTGTCCAACTGGAAGAGGAAACTAGACTAAAAAAGGCCTTCTTATCTCAGAGCTCTGTGCCTGTGCTTAAGGGAATTAATTACCTACACAGTCTTATGCAAGTGTGTGCATTTTTCTGGGTGAGGATACACAGCTTTGAGAGATTCTCGGGGAGCCCTGGGACTCAAACAAAGTAAAGAGCCGATTTCTTTTTTCTTTTCTTTCTTTAAGATTTTATTTATTTATTTATTTATTTTAGAGAGCGCCAGAGAAGGCGCACGAGCTGGGGAGAGAAGCAGAGGGAGAGGGACAAGCAGACTCCGTGCTGAGTGCGGAGCCCGACGCAGGGTTCGATCCCACGATCCTGAGATCACGACCTGAGCCGAAACCAAGAGTCAGATGCTCAACCGACTAAGCCACCCAGGCAGCCCAAAGAGCTGATTTCTTAAGGGCCTGGCTGGCTCCTCTCACCTCAGATTTTCTTCTTCTGCCCAGCCTACTTCATTCCTTCCTCCGTGGGCTCAAGTAGCCATAGCTGTGGGCAGGGCTGGGAATTCTTGTCTTTTTAGGAACTGGCTACTGGGTGAGCAAATGGAAGAAGGAGGAACTGTTAGTTGGTACTTTCACTTAAGTTCAGGGTTATGGCAGCAGGAGGCCTCTGGATCATGAGTGGAGGCAGTTGGGCCATGTAGTATGACCTGCAGGGTTGGAGCAAGGTGCTAGCTTTAGTTACATTCTGGGTGTTTATTTTATTTTATTTTGTTTATAGATATTTTACTTATTTATTTAGAGAGACAGTGAGTGCAGGCAGTGCGTGCATGGAAGGGAAGGGGTAGAGGGAAGGGGAGAGAAGCTCAAGCAGACTCTATGCTGAGTGAGGAGCCTGACGTGGGGCTTGAGCTCAGGACCCCGAGATAATGACCTGAACCAAAACCAAGCCGCTCAACCAGCTGTGCCACCCAGGCCTCCCTGTTCTGGGTGTTTAAAGACCAGCTCTCATTCCCTCTATAAACCCTCCATTTGCTCACCTGTGCAGTGGGGCAGGATTAGAGTTCTTAGTGGGCTAATTTGGTCTGTCTCCTCAGAAGTTAAAGTTGGGGTGGTAGGAAGAGGGCAGGCTAGTCCCCCAAGACCCCAACCTTCTCTTCCCTGTCTCCAGGTAGCCTGTGGAACCTCCCCTGACCATCCAGGTCCTGCGATGCAGTGAACCCCTGCTTGTCTGCCACCGTTCTCCAGAATGGACCGCAGCAGCCTCCTGCCCTTCCAGCTGTGGTGCCCCCGGCCCTTTGGCACCTACTCGCAGAACCAGCCGCGCCCACCTACTGCAGCCCTCAAGCCGTCGGCCTGCCCAGAGCCAGGCAGCGGGGCTGAGCCAGACCACGGGCCTGCCCACTCAGAGAACACCCCGCCTGCCTTGGCCACAGAGGCCCCTGCCTCCCAGCCTGCTCCACTCCTCTCAGCAGCTGCTGCTGGCGATGAGGGCCGAGTCCTGCTGGACACGTGGTACGTCATCAAGCCCGGGAATACAAAGGAGAAGGTGGCCTTCTTTGTGGCCCACCAGTGTGGTGGGGGCAGCCGGGCCAGCTCCATGAAGGTTAAGGGGCACTGGGGCAGCGACAGCTCCAAGGCCAAGCGGAGGAGGCGCTGTCTTGAACCTACCAAGGCTCCACCGGACCCAGGGGGCCCAGAGGGGCCCCCCGCTGCTGAGGGGGCCCCAACCTCAACTGGTGAGGACGTCGACCTGCTCTCTGTGGCTGAGATGGTAGCCTTAGTGGAACAGCGGGCCGCCTTGGCCCTGCAGAACTACCCTCGCCCCGGCACCCCGGCGCCTGTGGTCTTTGTGTCAGCTGAGCAGGGTGGGCCTGCCAAGGGGCTGGGATCTGAACGGCGGTCTGGTGGTGGGGACTGCAGCCGTGTGGCCGAGGCGGTGGCCCACTTCGAGGCCCAGCGGGACAGCCCTCCATCCAAAGGCCTCCGCAAAGAGGAGCGTCCTGGGCCAGGTCCAGGGGAGGTGCGCATTGCCTTCCGCATTTCCAATGGCCGAGAGCCCCGTGCACCCGATGGCAGCTTGCCCAACGGGAGTGGGGGCCGGCCCGGTTGTGCCTACCCTGGCAGCCCAGGCCCCGGGGCCCGAGCCAAGGACAAGATCACCTGCGACCTGTACCAGCTCATCAGCCCCTCCCGGGACGCCCTGCCCAGCAACGTGGAGTTCCTTCTGGCTCGGGCGGATGAAGCCAGCGAGGGGGAGACGCCAGTCCCTGCCAGGCCTGAGGACACTCCCCCAGCACCCCCTCCACCCCCTGCCCGGGACTGCGGAGCGTCAGGCTTCCATGTGGATGTGGTGGTGACGGGTGTGGTGGACGAATGCATCTTCTTTGGCAAGGATGGCACCAAGAACGTCAAAGAGGAGACGGTGTGCCTGACGGTCAGCCCTGAGGAGCCGCCCCCACCTGGCCAGCTTTTCTTCCTCCAGTCCCGTGGTCCAGATGGGCCCCCTGAGCCACCCCCGGCCGACTCACCAGCCACCGCACCAGGCCCGGATGATGCCGAGGGGACAGCAGACACCTCTCTGTGCCGCCTGTACCGGCACGTGTCACACGATTTCCTGGAGATTCGCTTCAAGATCCAGCGGCTGCTAGAGCCGCGACAGTACATGCTGCTGCTGCCCGAGCACGTGCTGGTGAAGATCTTTAGCTTCTTGCCCACGCGGGCCCTGGCAGCCCTCAAGTGTACCTGCCACCACTTCAAGGGCATCATTGAGGCATTCGGTGTGCGGGCCACAGACTCACGCTGGAGCCGCGACCCACTGTATCGCGATGACCCTTGCAAGCAGTGCCGCAAGAGATACGAGAAGGGTGATGTGTCGCTCTGCCGCTGGCACCCCAAGCCCTACCACCACGACCTGCCTTATGGACGTTCCTACTGGATGTGCTGCCGCCGAGCTGACCGCGAGACGCCTGGCTGCCGCCTGGGTCTGCACGATAACAACTGGGTGCTGCCCTGCAATGGGCCAAGTGGCGGCAGTAGTGGTGGCGGTGGTGGCAGCACTGGCAGCAGTGGGGGCCGGGCTGGCCGGGAGGAAGGGAGGTGAAGCCGGGGGAGGGGAGGGGAGAGCCCACCATGCCCACCCCTCCCCCCTCCCCCGGGAGCTGAGGGCCAGAACTGGGTCACCAGCCTGTGCCCCCCAGTCCGGGCAGTGTTGATCCCCACCCCCTCCAGAACTGAGATGGGGTTCCGGGGGATGATTGAGAAAGCACTCTGATCAACTGACCCCTATTGATTTTCTACTTTTCAGACCCAGGGCCATGGACCCTCAAGGAGGGTGTTTTTTATCAGCATCTCAATTTCTCCTCCATTCAGCCCCAACCCCCTCCCTGCCACTCTCCACCCCAGGGACCCACCAGCAGGGAGCAGAAGGCAGCTAATTTTGGTACTCCGCAAGGGTTCCCCCATTCTGGCCCCCTCCCGCCCCCTCCCCCAGGTCTCTGTCTCTGGAGCCATGTTCTCCCTCAAGAGGCTGCAGCATGCAAGGTTGGCACCTTTCCTGACCCACCACACCCGGGCTCACCTCTTTAGGAATTGGGGCCCACGGGATCACAGATCAGATGTGGCGGCCCTTTTCATGGCAGCCTGCCATTTCTAGACATTGGCTCCATTAAAACAATAAAAATCATTGTTTTCTTCTTAACCTAAAGCTACCAGTTTCTTCACTTCCCCCAAAGGGGAAGAGAAGGGGAAAAAGAAATTGAAGTATAGATTCCCCTCCCCCATCACTGAAGCTCTTATCATCGCTTCTTCCCTCCCCCAAAAAGCTGTGAAGCCCTTTGCCTCGCTCTTGACAGCGTGGGGGGCCGGTGGGCAGGGACTGTGAGTTTGCATCTCTGGATTGTTTTTCCTTCCACTCTGGGTACTCATTCAGGTGTGGGGGTCTCTCCAGCCTCAGCCATACATGTTTCTTCAGAATCCTTTGGTCAACGGAGACCTTGATTTTCAGGCAGTTTGGTCTGGGGTGTTTTTGTTTGTTCTGTTTGGGGTTTTTTGTTTTTGTTTTTTTTTTTGTTTTGTTTTGTTTTTCATCCTTGTGGTTCTGGAAGCTTCTGGTGTGTGGCATCTGACCAGTTTTGAATTGGTCCTTTCTATAAAATTGATATTTATAAGGCTGGGCCCAGACTGGTTTGTGTGTTGTTCAGGGAGGGGTTTGGGGAGAGAAGGGAGCCAAGGATTACTGCATGGTGAGCTGGAAAAGATTGGGAGAAGGATCCTTAGCCAAGTCCCTTAGCTTGAGATTATTTTTGACTCTTCATCTGTGTCGGTTTGGATTCAAAATCTCAAAATAGTAGTAGCTTAAGCAAGATAGTTTTCATTTCTTTAGAAATCCAGAGTGGGCAGCTATGGTGGCCCTGAAATTGTCAGAAACCCAGGCTGCTTCCAGCTCACTGTCCTTTGGCTGTGGCCCCGCTAGAACTCCAACCATAGCCAATTTGCAGGAAGAAAAGGCTCCTTCCTCCCAGAAGTACTACATTATACCTATATGTATATTTCACTGATCCAAACTTCAGCCATATGGAAGGGCTGTGAGGGAGACTGGGGACATGCAGTTTTTCAGCTGGGTACATTATGCAAAAAAAAAAAAAAAAAAAACCCTCTTTTACTAAAGATCCATATAATCAAAGCTTCAAAAAGTCAATTATTTACTAAGTAAAAAGGGGAACTGAGTGATTTAAAAAATTCAAATATAAAGGAAGAGGGAAGGATGGATATTGAGAGATAATTAACAGTCTGGTTTTTGTTTTTGTTTTTTGTTTTTTGTTTTGAGAGAAAAAGAGAGAATCCCAAGCAGGCTCCACATTCAGTGTAGGCTGGACACAGGGCTCGATCCCATGACCTGAGCCAAAATCAAAAGTGGGATGCTAACCATCTGGGCCATCCAGGCACCCCAACAGTCTGACATCTTTTTTTTTTTTTAAGATTTTATTTATTTATTCATGAGAGACACAAAGAGAGGGAGAGACACAGACAACTCCCACAGGGAGCCTGATGCAGGACTCGATCCCAGGACCTGAGGCAGGCACTCAACCACTGAGCGACCTAGGCACCCCAACAGTCTCTGACATTCTTATCAGGAAATAAAAATGACCAGAGAGACTAGGATGTTTCATAGTAGTTATTTTAATACTTAGATTTTAGAATCAAGAGACCTGGGTTTGAGTCTTGGCTTGGCTTTGTGGGACTTCAGTTTTCTCTGGAGGGGCCAGATTATTTAGACTCTCCTGCTGAAAAGAGGTAGTCAAAAAATCAAAACCATCAGCTAACCAATATAATACAGTTAAAGGATGCACCTCGCCAAAAATTTAAGGGAAATTTATGTGGGTCCCTGAAGCCACTTTTGCTCTGAGGGCATTTGCTCGGGCCAACAGACCTGGGTTTCCTATTGGTAGTCTTAATGGAACAAGCAGGAGGAAGTCAAGGCCAAGGTGGGGGATTCCCCCCAAGGTGGGAAATCTAATAGGAGCTGGGATCCCACCAGACTACAAGCTCAGGTAAGGATTATGACCCAGAAGACTGCAGAGAAGATGTTCTAAACTGCGAGGACGCAAGACCAAAGGAGGGAGAAAGTGGACCCTGAGAATGTGTGGACACAGGCTGACTCAGGTTTGTGGCATCATCTGTGTGTTCCAGGGTACTTCTAAGCTCGACTGTCTGGCAAACACAAACAGAAATCCTCCAGGTTAAGGACCTGAGGACCTGTCTTCTAGAAGCCCCACAAATGATTTTTCAGACAATGAGTATGGTTAAGTGATCAAACATGTATGGAAATAAAGCAGCACAAGCAAGAATCAGCAGAGACAACAGAACGAAAGACGAGGGATCCCTGGGTGGTGCAGCGGTTTGGCGCCTGCCTTTGGCCCAGCGCGCGATCCTGGAGACCCGGGATCGAATCCCCGTCGGGCTTCTGGTGCATGGAGCCTGCTTCTTTCTCTGCCTGTGTCTCTGCCTCTCTCTCTCTCTGTGACTATCATAAATAAATAAAAATTATTAAAAAAAAAAGAACGAAAGACGACTCACAGGGACTTCGAATGGTGAACCCATCAGTCACAGATTAAAATATGGGTTTCCCCAACTTTACAGAAACTCAAATTACACCACTTTTCTCTTTTATAGAAGACCTACCTTAATACGGAAATAGCTTTTTTCATAAAAGTGAAAATCCTCTTTAGATCTCTCCCTTAGAACATGTACTAAGGTAGGTCTTTTGTCAAAGTGCAGTGGCATGACACAAACTTTTGGAAATCAGAGAATACTCTTTACAGTTTATGAAAGATTCCATAGGGTTGCTCTGCTTTCTTTTCTTTTTTCTTTTCTTTTCCTTTTCTTTCTTTTCTCTTTTCTTTTCTTTCTTTTCTTTTCCTTTCTTTAAGATTTTATTTAGTTGAGAGCATGAGCAGGGAAGAGGGGCAAAGAGGAAGAAGCAAACTCCCCACTGAGCAGGGAGCCTGACGTGGGGCTCGATCCCAGGACCCTGGGATCATGACCTGAGCTGAAGGCAGACACTTAGCTGACTGAACCACCCAGGCACCGCTGGATTGCTCTGCTTTTGGCTAGCAGGGCAAACATGTACAAGAGCTTGGAAATCTCTGCAGGCAACCCAGAACTAGATAATGGCCTAGCAGATGGGAAAGGAAAAAAGCCACAGACACAATAACCTAACGTAAAAATTCAGTGCTTGGCCTCAATAGTAAATAAGACACAAGTGAAAAACAGATTTATTGAAAATCTAGCTTTTTGGACCTAGCTCTAGAGCTAGGTCCAAAAAGTAGCAGAGGCAGAAACAAACCAAAAGAAAAAAGAAAAAAAACTGAAAGAATGTTAACAAAGGATAGAGTGAGACTAACACATTCAATTGCCCTTCTAGAATCTAGAGAGACAATGGTGCAAAGATAATATTTCAAGACAGGATGGTTGTGAATTTCAGACTGATGAATGATACCGATAAACCCAATGAGTTATAAGTAGAATGAATTTTTTTTTTAAAGATTTTATTTATTTATGAGAGACAGGGGCAGAGACACAGGCAGAGGGAGAAGCAGGCTCCATGCAGGCCCTGGGCTGAAGGCAGCGTTAAACTGTTGAGCCAGGGGATCCCTGGGTGGTGCAGCGGTTTGGCGCCTGCCTTTGGCCCAAGGCGCGATCCTGGAGACCCGGGATCAAATCCCACATCTGGCTCCTGGTGCATGGAGCCTGCTACTTTCTCTGCCTCTCTCTCTCTCTCTCTCTCTCTCTCTGTGACTATCATAAATTAAAAAAAAAAAAAAAAAAAAAAAAAAAAAAAAAACGTTGAGCCACCCTGGCTGCCCTAGAATGAATTTTTTAAAAAAGTGCACCTAGACGTGTTGGCAGTCAAAGTGTCCAGCCATGTGATCTACAGCCATTAATTGCTCTGAAGCTATCTTTTCAAGTGAAAAATGAGAATACCGACAGTCCTTTAAGATTGATTTGTGAGATGCTGGCACCTAGAGTGTGCTCAGCCTTTGTTTTTATCAGGTAAACCTAGTGGCCTCTTTGGAGTGCAAAGTTTGGGGGATGGATGGAAGTTGGGGAAAACACCCTGCCAAGCACCAACAGCCTCATCTATGGAATGGGTCTAACAATCCCTGCCCCACATTCAAGGGGGAAAAGTGTGCATCCCTGGTGCCTGGTGTGCAATACTCAACCGGGAGGTCTTACAAGAATGCACCGAAAGCCTGGGGCATAACAACACGTGGCTCCCAGTCTCTTAACACAAGAGGTGATGGTCTCACCTACTTTCAGGGTGGCTGTGAGGCTCAGGGGAGAGAGGGTACTTTCACATGTCTGGTAGTGCACCTGCCACACAAAAACAAACAGGAACCATCCCTGTGGTTTGAGAGCCTTGCCACCCTGGCTGTTGAGGTCTGTCAATTTCTAGTTCTAAACTTGGGACTCGGGGATCCCTGGGTGGCTCAGTGGTTTGGCACCTGCCTTTGGCCCAGGACTTCATCCTGGAGTCCCAGGATCGAGTCCCACATTGGGCTCCTGGCATGGAGCCTGCTTCTCCCTCTGCCTGTGTCTCTGCCTCTCTCTATGTCTATCATGAATAAATAAAAAAAAATTAAAAAATCTTAAAAAAAAAAAATAAACTCGGGACTCATGCCACCTCCACCTCAAAGAGGTCATTAGCCTCCCCCAACTCCCCTGCCCCTCCCCAACCCCACTCTAGCTTGCAGTCAATTAAACCTCAGGAGGAGCTACTTTTTGCCAACCATCTGTTGGTCCAGCACAGGTGATCTCTGGGAGATAAGACATGGTATCAGGAGCCCAGGTGTGGGTGAGCATGTGGGTGCTATAAACAACTGGATCGTAATTCTCAGCCCTACCCACCTCCTTTGCAAGAGAACAGAAATTGTACCTACCTCAGGACTTGGACAGAGACTACATGGTCTCCCTGTTAACCTACCAGGGCTCCAGCAGTCACAAAACTGGCAGGCACAGAGCCCAGCTGAGGTCTCCCTTCCTAGGTGCCCTCCCTTTTATGGTTTTCTTTTGAGTAGGTTTGCTAAGTCGCAGGGAACATGCCACTCTATTCTTATGGACATCATCTCCCCAACTTCACTGATCAGGAAACTCCCTCAGGTGCTCCTTAGAGTCCTAGCCCCTCCCTGGAGTTCTGATTCAGCAGGTCTGGGGTGAAACCTAGGAGTCTGCATTTTTTTAATAAGCACCCCAGGTGAGTCTGAACATGAGCTGGGGTGGGAAATACTTCCTCAAAGCCATCACTGGGGTTGCAGTGACATCCACCATCTCATACGCCTATGCCCACAACTGAAAGGGAAAGAATGGTTTGGTAGAACTAGTTGGCAATGAATCCATCTTACTCATTCTTTCTGTGAACACACTCAAACTGTCACAACCCAGTGTTTCCCAAAGTATCCTTTGTGGTACCCTAGTTCTATGAAGTTCCCAATAAAGGGGTTCCGTGGGGGAAATGCTTTGAGGAAACAACACTGCATTAATTGTCTTACACTTGAAAATTCACATTGTGCAATGAAGAAACTCATTTAATGTCTCATCCCGCATCTTTGATCCCCCTTTTCACGAAACACCTAGTTATGCTAATTCTGTAGAATATGTTTCACAGAAACACTGGTTTATTGCTCTTGGGTCTGACAGACTCGAGTTCCCAACTATTGGCTTCTACCTCCTCTGTTCCTGCTTACCAGCACATCCCCTGTGGACACCACACAGCAATCTGTGGACATTAAACCATAAGCCACAGAGAATTCATTTGGTGGGGTGGTAGTGCTGCCCCAGATGCCAGTCCAAGATGTGCTAACTATAAAACAGCAGCATTGGCCCCTTGCAAACCTTCACACCAAGAGCTTCCTTCAGGACAGGGTCTAAGTTCTTACTCCTTTGGCTGTCACCCTCACAGCGGTCTTGTCTCTTTTGTGTCTTTGAAGAGTGACAGCTTGAAAGAGCCAAAGGAAAGAGGGTCTTCCAATCATTGCACAAGTGGAACCAAAAAAAAAAAAAGGATTATCCAGCATATCCCAGGCAGCCTGGCCTGAGCTCCACTGGTTCCAAGTGTCCTTGGTGCGTCCTGGCTGGGCACTGCTCCTTCTGAATCAGCCAAGGAGGCTAGAGTCCCAGATATTCGGCCAGGAACACGGCGAGGATGCGGCTCAGATTGTGTACGGTGGGTGGGTGCAGGTTGGCCTCAGAGTCATCGGGGGTGTGCCAGACGGAGGGGAAGGGCATGGAGATGAGGTGGAGCACAGGGACCCCTGTAGGGAAGAGGGGAGGCTTGGTCAGATCTGTGCCTGGGTAAACTTGCCTCAGCCCCACCCTGAAGATACTCTGTCCTGGCATGTGAAGAACCCTGAATGATGATTTTAAGCGTGTGAGGGCAACATGTTAGTTTTTTAAAAAGATATATCCAGTATATCTATTGTTCTCACACACAAATTGTAGAAACTCAAAACCTAATGGATTATGCAAAAGACCAGAAGGGAAAGAGGTCTTTGACATCATATTGCCAGGTATATCATAGGCTCTTTTTCTCTTCTTTATTTATAGCTTGCACCTTTAAAAAATTTTTGTTTTTTTAAATAACCTCTATGCCCCATGTGGAGCTCAAACTTACAACCCCGAGATCTACTGACTAAGCCAGCCAGGCACCCTTAGCTTGCACTTCTGTCATACATAGTTCTATTCCAGGCCTTCATCTAAGGCCACACACACCTCCACACACAATTTTACCCATACAGTAATCCTTTACAATAGTCCTATATAGGGCGTCTGAGTGGCTCAGTCCGTTAAACGTCTGCCTTCAGCTCAAGTTGGGATCCTGGGATCAAGTCCCACACTGGACTCCCCACTCTGAGGGGAGTCTGCCTCTGTCTCTCTGTCTCTCATGAATAAATAAATAAAAATCTTAAAATATATATCCTACATTTATCCCTATTTTATAGATGAGGACACCGAAGCACAGAGGCGGGCAGAGTGATTTGCCTGAGGCCCTGCCTCTAGCAAACAGCACAGTGAGAATTTGAACCCAGGCCACCTATCTCCAAAGTCTGTGATCCTAATCCCTGCACTAAGATGGCTTCCCTGTCCTTGGAGCACTTCCCTCTGTGTGTATCAAGATTCGCTAAATGTCTGTCCCACCACTGGACAGAACCCAGGCAGATTATGGCCCATCACTGGACTGCTGACACCTGGCCCAGGACCTGCGTTGGGAAATAATCACTGAAAGGATCAATAAAGAAGGCACTGTCAGGAACGGCATATTTGTTGAATAAGTAAATCAGTAAAATTTATTTTTAATTTTTAAAGATTTTATTCATGAGAGACACAGAGAAAGGGACAGAGACATAGGCAGAGGGAGAAGCAGGCCCCATGCAGGAAGTCCCATGTGGGACTCAATCTCAGGACTCTGGGATCACGCCCCAAGCCAAAGGCAAACACTCAACTGCTGAGCCAACCAGGCATCCCGAGAGTAAAAATTTAAAAAGCAGTTTTTAGCACTTACTATATTATGACATGTACTGCATGAGAAGGCATTCTATGTACCTAATCTCATTCAATCCTCCCAACCCCATGATTATGAACATCCACATACAGGTGTGTTTTCCAGAAGAAACACAGGAGACAGGACCAGAGAGCCTGAGTAATCTGCTGTAGGTCAGCCAATGGTAAGTGGCAGACACTAGAACCCAACCCTGTCTGATTCTAAAACCTATGTTCTGAACTCCTCTACCAGAGGTCTTCAGTCCTGGTTGTGCAACACAATCATCTGGAAGTTTTGTGAAAATAACGCAGAGACCCAAGAGTGTGGTTTAGCAGGCCTGAAATGCAACTGAGCATTTCTCGAAGCTCCTCAGGTGATTCTGCTGGGCTGCCAGGACCTTAAAAGCCAAGTACTGGAATCTGGGGTCATGGAGGCACTGACAGTAGTAGCTAACATTCTTTGAATGCTTACTGTGTGCCGGGTACCGTGCAAGTAACGTCTTTAAGTATATGAGCTCATTGGATCCCCTCAACAACTCTGAGATAGGAGCTATTAGCATCCCCATTTTACAGATGAGAAAGATAAGGCAAAGAAAAGTTCAGGCACTTACCACCAGTCCCCAACCCTGGGAAGCGGTCAGGGCCAGGTCCTACCTGTCCTTCCCTTGGACGCCCCCCACCTACCTTCCACCCCCCCCCCATAGCAAGTACCTCGGCGGAGGAAGGGGATGTGGTCATCTTCCACAGAACCAGGGGGCTCCCCCGGCTGGAAGTACATCACTTCCTGGGGATGAGACTGCAGCAGGTTCATGCGGTGAAGGCGCTTCTCTGCAGGTGGTGGGGATTAGAGAGCAAAGGTCAGCACCTCAAGGTCAAAAGTTCCCCTGCTCACAGATCAGGGCCTGGCAGGAGGCCTGGGGTAAAGCACTGATAGTCCCCCAAAAGGAGGTAGTTAGCTAGCCCTACTACAGGCTGTATTCCCAGTTTCCTCTATTCTCTCTGACCCCAGGAGGGAGATACCTCTATTATTGTTACTATCATGCCCATTTTACAGATTGGAAATGGAGGCTCAGAGATGAATGAAGCCACTTGCCCAGGTTCACATGCCGGTAAGAGGCAGAGCCAGAATTCAAACCCAGGGCTACTGGACCCCAGAGCCTGTGTGTAATCACAACACCTGATTGCCATGGGATCTTTATGTTTCTGCCCTAGTGCCTTGGGGAGAGAGTCAGGAGGTAGAGGGCAGTCTGGATGACCCCTCAGAAAGCAGGTGCCCCCCTCCACCTTCCCCCTTACCGATGCTCCTCAGCCGATGGAACCAGCGGGCTGTATGAGGGAAATGACTGTAGAAGTTTGGATTCGGGGCACCCAGGAGATCAAGGAGCATGAAGAGCTCCTAGGGAGAGAGAGTCCAGGTGGGGTGTTGCAACCTTGCATCACCCACTCCCTCCCTCACCGGAACCCAATGGGGCCCTGGTCTTACAATAGCCTGGATCCTGGTGGGGCCTGGGCTGTGGGGTGCAGACTCCATGAGCTGGGCCAGGTGCCGGGAGCCATAGAGGGAGTCTGTGGGTCCCCACTCCTTCAGTGCTTCTTCACCATCCAAAAAGAGCAGCTGCAGAGTCACCGGGGCTTCCTGTGGGAGCTGGTGGTCAGGGCCAGCTTGGTTCCAGGCCTCAGCCTCGACCAGTCCACCTTCCTGCCCACTTGCACCACTGAATAGGGCAAACTAGGTGTCCTCACTCATAGAACATGGTGGCCAGAAGTGTAGACTCTGAACCAGACCACCGGGGTTCAAATCTGGCTCGGCCACTTTATAGCTGAGTCGTTATGGGTAAGTTACTAACATCTCAAAGTGTCAGATGACAAAATGGGGTTAATAACAATTCTTTTTTTTTTTTTTTTGGTTAATAACAATTCTAATCATACAGTAGGATGCGAATCCAGGTCCTGGAATAGTGCCTGACATAGAATAACCAAAAAGAGTCAGCCCTGATTATTATTGTTACTCCTTAGGCTCCTTTAGCAGAAGAGACAGACTCACAACGAATCCTCATACAGTGAAATGCACATGGGATGAATCCTTCCAAGAACTATGGGATTCTAGGGGCACCTGGGTGGCTCAGTGGTTGAGCATCTGCCTTTGGCTCAGGTCAGGAACGAGTCCTGCATCAGGCTCTCCCTGCAGGAAGCCTGCTTCTCCCTCTGCCTATGTCTTTGCCTCTCTCTCTATGTCTCTCATGAATAAATAAAATTTAAAAGAACTATGGGGTTCTAAAAAAGCATAGGAAGGGAGTTGGGGAGCATGTTGAGTCGGCTGGGAAGGGATGTCTGTAATGGAGGTGAGTGGGAGCTGGCCTGGTGAAATGGGGCAGAGGGAAAGGTGTTCCCAGGCAAGAAGCAACATGGCCACGTGCCGGTGCCAGATTAGAGAGCTTTGTGAAAAGGCCTGAGGGATGAGCTAGTGCCAGGGAGCTTGGGCTTTGTTAGAGGGGGTTTGAGTCATGGAAGGGGCCTGAGCAGGAGGAGGAGATTTGTGTTTTCTTTCATTTATACATTCCACACATTTCTCTTGACATCCTAACTTATGCCAGGTAATCCTCTGGGCCCAGGGAATACAGAAGACGACAAAAGCAGCAAAAACCCTGCCTATTGGGAAGACAGACAAATGCAACAACATAAAGCACCACAATGCTTGGGACAGTGACAGGGAGCTCTTTCAGGGTGGATAGGAAACCATTTCTGAGGGGGTGACATCAGAGAGGACAATTGAATGAAGGGTGACATTTCTAGCCAGGAAGGTATCTGTTGAAAGAACATTCTAGCCAGAGCAAACAGCAGGTGCAAATGCTCTCAGGTGGGAGTAATCCTTGTGAGTTATGAACGCAAAGGATCTACATGGCCCCATGAGGGCCACTATAAGGCATAAGGTTTATGCCTGCAATGAGGTGGGAACCATGGGAGGGTATTGGGCAGAGGAGAGCTGGGATTGGACATTCAGGGGATGAAAAGTCCCTGTGACTACATGTGTGGAACAGAGGTAGGAAGACATGTCCAGGCAGGGAAGGATGGGGGCTTGGACTAGGGTAGAGGCAGCCCCAGCCCCCCACACCTTCCCTCATTCCTCACCTGCTCCTTGGCCCTACTCAACTCCCTGTCGAGGGCCTGAGCCAGCTCCAGCAGCAGGGCACAAGGTACAGCCGAATCTGTTGCCCCCACAAAGGGAACCGACTCAGATGCGAAGAGCTTGGAGTCATAATGGCAAGCAAGGGTGAGGTGACGGGCAGCCCCTGGGTCCAGCGTGGCCACCACATTGCCAAAGTCCAGTGGCCCCAGGGGTGTCAAGGCTGTGAAGGGGTCCAGTTCCACATGCCAGCCTGCCGTCAGGGTCCGTAGTGTAGCCTCCAGGAACTAGTGGCAGGAGAGAGGTGGGAGGATGGGTGGGGACTGGGGAGGAGGTCAGGAAAAGAGCCATGTGACCTGAGCCATGCACAGCAGTTGGGCTGACTCATAATCCCCACTTTGGTTTCAGTCATTCCCTTGACATGCTTTTGCTGAGAGACCCTACAGAATGCCAGGTGTGCCGTGACTCTGCGGCTCGATGCCAAGATAATCCCAGCTCACCCTTCAAATCACTATGTGCCAAAGCCCTGTTCTAGGAGCCCTATAGGAATGAGGACTGTCAATGGCTCCATTTCACAGATAAGGAAACTAAGGCACAGAAGGTTAAGAAACTAGTCCAAGGTCACACTCCAAGTGGATGATGTGGGATTTGAACTCAGAGGGTAAGTATTCAAATGACTGGATGCTTTCTGGGAGGCAATATAGAGATGTTCTTGTGCCAGCTCTGGAATCAACCTGAAGTTTGGGTTGAAACCCTAGGTATACCATTTATTAGCTGTGGGATTTGGGTAAAATGCCTAACTGCTCTGGTCCTCAGTTTCCATATGCAGAGTGAGGATTACACTGGTACTCACCCCATAGAGCTGTTGCCTAGCACACACTCAGCTTTTGGGGGCCGTACAGAGGGCAATACAGTTGTGGTTACCAAGGTGGGATTCTAGATTCCGATTAGCTCCAGTCAGAGCCTCAGCTGGGGGTCTTAGCTGCTTGGGGGATTTGGGGCAGAATGCCTATTTCCACCTGTGTGGCTCTGTGGTTGGGCCTCTGCCTTTGGCTCAGGTCGTGATCCTGGGGTCCCAGGATCGAGCCCCGGCATCGGGTTCCCCTCAGGGAGCCTGCTTCTCCCTCTGCCCATGTCTCTGTGTCTCTCATGAGAAAACAAATACAATCTTAAAAAAAAAAAAAAAAAAAAAGAATGCCTAGTTCCAATTCCCTGGCAGGCTGCTGGGTCAGAGGTGGGAGGTGGAGCCCTTTACCTTTCTGACTTGGAGATTGCCGGGGCTGCCCGGCGTCCGCACAACCAGCAGGGGGCGCAGATAAGTGTTCCAGAGACGGTGTGGGTCCAGTTGCCCCACCACCCGCCGCAGCCGGGCTTCGGAGAGGCTTCCGATCAAGCGGCCCTTAGGAGGAGGGAGCAAGGAGAGGGAAGAGAAGAACCGAACGTGAGGACAACCCCCATTCCAACCCTAACCCGGACGCCATCGCCCCTAAGAAGCCCCGGTTCTTCTTCCTAATTCGAACCTCCAGCATCGGAGGTTTCCAGAAGAAATCCTAAGCTAAGGAAAGTCCCTCTAAACCCACCAGGTCCAGCCCACCTCAATCCTGATGGGGAAATCGAGGCCGAGAGAGAGGAAGGGACTCTCCCAAATAGCTGACTTTCAGATTGGAACCCAGAACTCCCAGTGTTACTACTGCAGACTCTTCCTCTTAGGTAGAACCACCTATTACAGAACAAGCCCAAAGCCTCAGTTCGTTAGCAACGGGCATGCGCTCTAACGACGGAGACCGCAGCACCTGCAGCTTGGGCCAGACGACACAGCCACGTCAACCTGAGACCTCAGGGAAGGGGAGGCGGGGAATGAGGGCTCCCGCGGTGCCCGTGCCCCTGCCGGGCCTCACCCGCAGCTCCCGGCCCCGCGGCAGCTCCTCAGTCTGGCGGTGCCAGCCGCTCCAGATGGTGTAGGTCGCCGAAGCCAGGGCCAGGGCCAGCAGAAGCAGGGGCAAGAAGTGCGCCCGCGGGAGCAGGCGGCGCTTGGGCGGGGAGGGCGGCTCCAAGAGCCCACGTTCCCCGAGCCGTAGCCGGGACCGCCCGCGGCCCCCGGAAGGCATGGCAGCTTCGCCCCGAAACCGGTCCCGGACCGCGGATAGTTTAGGCCCAGCCAAATCCCACCCCATGGAATCACCGAACCAATGAACACGGAGAGCGGCTGCACCATCCCACCCACCCTCGGTCAGTGAAACCAATGGCGACTCTCACTCTGAGAACACGCCTTCCTGTCTCCCTGGGGCTTTGGGGTTGGTTCCCCTGAGGGTTGCACAACCCAAAAGGGTAGTGCGAAAGGGAGAAGCTCCGCCTCAGCGGAGGAACGGAAGCCAATGAGCAATGTTTGATCCTGAAAAACGTTGGACCTAGGAGCAGGTCTCCGCCCCTCCCGTAGGAAGGCAAAGGATTGGTTACTCGCGGTCGGAAAGATCAATAGACACGTAAACGAACCGACACCGATGGAAAAGGGGCGGTGTCCGTCCCAGAAGCGAGGAGCCGATTGGCTACACGGAGGCCGCGCCCCCGAGGGCGGAGCCGGCGGGCTTTTGGAACGCCGTGTCCTGTCCCTGCTTCAACTTGTGCCGCTCTACAACGAAACGATTTGAGTCGGACCCGCGTTATTCTTGTCTCCATTGTCTTCTCTCCATATGGTCCTGAAAGCCCCTGAACTACTACGCAGTGCTTCTACCCCACGTCTGCGCGGGGCCGGCGCGGATTGCCACGGCAACAGGCCTCGCCCACACCGTGCAGGTTGGGATTGCGCAGGCGCCGACGGAAGTGGGCCACAGGAAACGGAAGTCCCGCCTGTAGCCCTCGCTTCAGAGGCAGGAGCAACGCGGGGAAGACGGTGCTGATCTGCGAGCACAGCCGCCGCCACCATGTGAGGCCCGGCGGGAGTGGGGTCGAGGGTGTAGATGTGGCTGTTTGCCGGTGGTGGGCGAGGCGGGATCGGAGGCAGAGATTTTAGGGGTAAAGTACGCACCGTTCTGACGAGTTTGAGGATGGGCATGGGGCCTTTGACGGGTCCTGAGTTCGAGGGAAGGCACTTGATCATTTAATGAGCCGGGATTTCCCAGATAATGAGTCTCGCTGAAATGGATTTTAAGAGGAAGCAAAGAACCTGGGAAACGGGAGTGCGGAGTTTTAGAAATAACGGTTTGAGGTACGGGACTTACCCGGACAATTTGAGCTGGAGAAGTTCACCTCCTTCGCGACTTTTTCGGCTCACGAATCGCCTTAATGATTTTCCTGATTTGGTATTCATTCAGCAATTATTTATTGAGCACTCATGTACTAGGCACTGCTTTAACTACGTGAGATACATCAGTGACTGCGACCCCCATCCCGCAAGAAAAATGCCCTGCTGCAGCTTATGGGTGTGGGAAAAGGCAGACAATGAACACACCGGTGATAAAAATGTAAAGTGTATGGCGTGTGTTAGGTGATCAGAGCTTAGTGAGTAAAGAAGCAAAAGAGCAGGATCCAAACAATGGGGAGTACTAGTTTTGAGAGAAAGTAACTCAATAACCAGTGCAGAACATATTGAGAAGGCAGCAGTTGAGCAGAGACCTGAAGAACCCGAGAACCACAAAGATACCTGGGGAGGTATCCAGGCAGAGGGAAAACGAAGGGAGATGCCCATGGTGAAAGTTTGTCTAATATCTTATATATTTTTTAAAGATTTTATTTACTTGTGAGAGACACAGAGAGGCAGTATCCCCACAGGGAGCCCGATGTGGGACTCGATCCCAGCATCCCTGGGTTAGGATCTTTTTTTTTTTTTTTTTAATATTTTATTTATTTATTCATGATAGACATAGGGGGAGAGAGAGGCAGAGACACAGGCAGAGGGAGAAGCAGGCTCCATGCAGGGAGCCTGATGTGGGACTTGATCCCAGGACTCCAGGATCGCGCCCTGGGCCAAAGGCAGGCGCTAAATCACTGAGCCACCCAGGGATTCCCCCCGGGTCAGGATCTGAGCCGAAAGCAGATGCTACCCAGGCGCCCCTTGCCTAATATCTTAAAGGGCCACCTTCAAGGCCACTGGCTGGAACAGAGAAGGATGAGAAGATGCCAGGCATTGTAAAAACTTTGGGTTTTACTTTTTACACAGAGATGGGAGCCATGGGAGGGTTTCGAAGAGTGAAATGATATGACTTAGGTTTTGATACAACCTCTGGGACTGCTGTGGAAAACAGACGGTCAGGGGCATGGGCTGAGGTAGGGAGACAAGTAAGGCTCTCAGGAGAGAGATGATAGAGGTTTAGGCCATGGTAAGAAACAGATTCTGGGTATATTTTAGAGGCAGACAACAGAATTTGCTGACATTGAATGTAGGATGTGAGAGAGAAGAGTCAAGTTGATATCAGGGTTTCTGCTCAAGGAACTAGAATGATGGAGATGAAGAAGGCTGTGGAAAGAGTAGGTTTGAGTGATTGGGAGATCTGGAGCTCAACTGAGGATGTGTACGGTTGGAAATGTCTATTCAGCATCCAGCTGGTGATGCCATGCAAGAGGGACTGAGCAGGGGGGTGGGTGGGTTGGGTAGACATCATGTGACCACCCACGCTCCAGCTCTGGGCCTCTCACCTACGGGTTCCATGCTTGCCCCTCAGGAGCCTCCTCAACAAACCCAAGAGTGAGATGACCCCAGAGGAACTACAGAAGCGGGAGGAGGAAGAGTTTAACACGGGTCCGCTCTCTGTGCTCACACAGTCAGTCAAGAACAACACCCAGGTGCTTATCAACTGCCGCAACAACAAGAAGCTCCTGGGCCGTGTGAAGGCCTTCGACAGGTGAGCACCTGGGTCCTGGAAGGTGTTCTGTCCAGACTTGGAAATGCAGACACAGTTCCAGTGTGAGGAACCCAAATACAAGGTTTTCAGAGTCCTGGGGCATAAGCATATTCAGACCTCAAAGTGCAACGGTGTCTTGTTGTCCTTCCGGCTGTGCAGGACAGTAGTGATGGGCATGTACTTGGGAGCCAGGCTTCCTGGGTTTGTATCTCGACTCTGCCTCTTAGCAGCCATGAAACCTTCAGCAAGTAACTTTATCTCTTCCATTCAATGGCAGTAATTCTGGTGATTGCAGAGATTCAGTGACTTAATACATGTGATGTGTAATACAATCATTAGAAGTACAGCATCTGGCACCAGGAAGCTCTTATTAATCAGGTTTTGCAGTTACGATATAAAGTACCATGCCCAGTACTTTTTTTAGGCTCCAGAGACACAGCAATGACTGAAAGAGGACTCCTATGCTTAAGAGAGCTTATGCCGTAGGTAGGGAAACCAACAGCAAGCACACAAACAATGTGTCATAAGAAAAGTAAAGGCAGGTGAGAGTGTGGAGTGCTGGGAAGGAGGTGTTGTCCTAGACGGTAACGCGAGGGGTCCCATAGGAAGAGACCATGATGAACACACCTAAATACAATGAAGAAGGAAGCCAGGGTCTGAGTGTTTCAGCCAGAAGGAACAGCAAGTGGTTTTTCCTCTCTCGGCCTCAGTGTCCTTGTCTGCAAACTGTGCGTCATAAAAATACCCCTCGTAGAACAGTTGTGAGGATTAAATATTTCTGTAGGAAGGGTACTTGGCTCAGTAGCTAACATGATAAATGCTCAATAAACATAAAACCTGCAGCCTTCAGTTAGCATTTGGGAAGTGGTATGGCGAAGTGTAAGTCTAGAATGTTTTTGCCACGAGCTGTTACATGACCATGAATAAGTCTTTTCACTTGGAGCCTCGGTTTCTTCTCGAGGAGAATAAGAGTGAGAACATGAAGTATTGGGCCCAAAAAGGCAGATAGACCTAGATTTGAACAGGGCTGTGCCACTTCTAAAACATCATCCCACTGCACCAGTGTCCTGCTCTGCAAGCTGGAGGTGATGCTAGTGTTTACCTTCTGGGGGTGAGATGTAGTGAGAATTACTGGCTTACTGCTTAGAAGAGGGCACCTGGGTGCTTAGTAAGAGCACAATCGGTGGTGGTTTATTCATGTACATTTGTGTGTCCACATCTTTTTAAAGATTTATTTCATTTATTTTGGGGGGAAGGGGCAGAGAGGAAGAGTTCCAAGTAGACTATGCTGAACAAGGAGCCTGATGTGGGGCTCATTCTCATGACCTGAGATCATGACCCAAGCCAAAACCAAGAGTCAGACATTGAACCAACTGTACCACCCAGGTGCCCCCCCCCCATTTTTTTAAGAGGACTTTCCCCCAGTTCTTCCTCATACCCCCACATCAGCTTCTCACCCTAGTGTGTATCCTGCCACAGTTCACTCACTCACGCTCAACACACACACACACACACACACACGGGCTTCTTTGTGGTGTTAAATAACAGCTTTATTTTTTATTTTTTTAAAGATTTTGTTTATTCATGAGATACAGAGAAATAGAGACATAGGTAGAAGGAGAACCACACTCCTCATGGGGAGCCCCATGCAGGACTTGATCCCAGCATCCCAGGATAACGACCCAAGCCAAAGGCAGATGCTCAACTACTGAGCCACCCAGGTCCCCAGCAAACAGCTTTATGGAGGTGGAATTGACATGTTGTCATATCATAAATATAATTGTTTTTAAGATAGAATCTTCCATGTGCTACTCTGCATCTTGTTTTTCGCACTTTTCAGTGATCTGTGAACATCCTTGCAGGTCAGCTAAGGCATTCTTACCCGTTACTTATTTTTTTTTTAATTTTTTTAAATTTTTATTTATTTATGATAGTCACACAGAATGAGAGAGAGAGAGGCAGAGACATAGGCAGAGGGAGAAGCAGGCTCCATGCACCGGGAGCCCGACGTGGGATTCGATCCTGGGTCTCCAGGATCGCGCCCTGGGCCAAAGGCAGGCGCTAAACCGCTGTGCCACCCAGGGATCCCAACCCTGTTACTTATTGTATTACTTATGTTCCTTTCTTGAGTGAGCAGTGCGTGCAGTTGAGGCAAAATTCAAAAGAAACGAACGTGCTCAATGAGGAACAAGTCTTTTTCTCCCTGTCAGTCAGTTGCCCTCCCCAGGAATCCTTCCACGGCAAATTCCTCAGGTCCCCTCACATGACATCAGACCAACAGACACAAGAGGATGCTTTACTTTATTTTAAATCACTGCTAATAGCAAACCACACAGTTTTAGACCTCAACTTTTTCACTTGACAACATGCCTTGGAATGTTTCCATGTGGGTATGCTACTTCATTTTTTTTTTTAATTTTTTTTGTTTATTTATGATAGTCACACACACAGAGAGAGAGAGAAGCAGAGACATAGGCAGAGGGAGAAGCAGGCTCCATGCACCAGGAGCCCGACGTGGGATTCGATCCCGGGTCTCCAGGATCACGCCCTGGGCCAAAGGCAGGCGCCAAACCACTGCGCCACCCAGGGATCCCTACTTCATTTTTTTTTAAGCTTATTTTTCTCTGAATTGCTAATGTATTCACAGGATTCCAAAAACAGTAATAGCAGTCCAATGATAACATTCCATGCAGCTTGTCCCTGGCCTCCAAGTGTCTTCCAGGATTCTGTACTGTACAAAGCAAAAGGAGGCAGGCAGTATAGATGCTTCTCCTACCCCCTTTCTTCCCTTCAAAAGATCACTTGCAGGGGTCCCTGGGTGGCACAGCGGTTTGGCGCCTGCCTTTGGCCCAGGGCGCAATCCTGGAGACCTGGGATCGAATCCCACGTCGGGCTCCCGGTGCATGGAGCCTGCTTCTGTCTCTGCCTCTCTCTCTCTCTCTCTCTCTCTCTCTATCATAAATAAATTTAAAAAAAATTTATAAAAAAAAAAAAAAGATCACTTGCATACTTGGTTTTGTCACTCAACAGTCTCTCATGGATATTACTCCACAGCAAGGCACAGAGCTTCCCCACTCTTAAATACTTTATTTTTCTTGCCACTCAGTAACATTTCCTTCTATTTTTCTATCCCTTCACCTGGCTTTAATTTTTCTTCATAGCAGGGGTTGTAACCTGACAGTGTATCAGATCCATCTGTTTACTTGCTTAGCATTCTTCTCTCCTCACATCCCATCAGGGCAGGGATTGCATCTGTCAGCTTCACTGCTGTATTCATTGCAGGTGCTTGCTGAGTGGGCTAAACTGTACTGTCCTCAAACGTGTCCACCTGGCACCCTGAGGAGATAGGGACCAAGCACAACTGCGGCGGAGGCATCACATACCTCCATAGGCCCCAGGGGCCTCTGGCTCCACAAATAGCAGCAGTTCCTTTGCTGATGCTTTCAGAAGTACTTGGAGTTGAGAAGCACAAGCAGACCCATTTTGCTTACCTTTCCCCTGGGCCAGGCCCTCTTCTAAGTCTTTGCAAGAATGCTGTATTGGTTAATTTATCTTCACAGCAGCCCTATGAGGGAGGCACTGTGAATGACTCCATGTCAGAAAGCAGGACATTGAGGCACAGAGGAGTGAAGTCCTTTGGCCAAGCCTCAACCTGAAGACTGGCAGAGGTGGTGTGGGGGTCCCTTGCTGTCCTTGTCCCAGGCCCACACATTCATCCCATGTGAGCTGCTGGAAGAGGGGTGGGCAGAAGGCTTCCCCCTCACTCCTGGTGCCTGCCCTCTACCCCCAGGCACTGCAACATGGTGCTGGAGAATGTGAAGGAGATGTGGACCGAGGTCCCCAAGAGCGGCAAGGGCAAGAAGAAGTCCAAGCCAGTCAACAAGGACCGCTACATCTCCAAGATGTTCCTGCGTGGGGACTCCGTCATCGTGGTCCTGCGGAACCCGCTCATCGCTGGCAAGTAGCGGCCTCCTCCCCGCCATCAGAATTTGCTCCCTCCTGCGAAGACCTGCCCTTTGTAATGGGAATAATAAAGTCCTGGGTTTTGTCTAGTGGCATCCGTCTGTTCCCAGAGCCTTGTGACAGGGACAGGCTTGGGGAAGGGAGGCAGCTGGGTGTGGGGCCAGGTGCTAGGGTGCAGACTTCTCTGATCCCGTGAAGAGGCCCTGTCTCTGCCCCTCCCCAGGCCTCTTTTTCCCCATCTGTGAAGTGAATGGGTTGGATACAGAGGGCTCTCTTTCCCTTCTTAATCTTTTCTAGCTTCTCATCGCTGTGTCTCCCCTTCCTCTGCCTCTCTCTCAATAAGTTGAGGTCTGGCTGCAGTGCTGGGGACACAGCAGTACCCAGGAGAGCCCTGACCAGCCCTCACTGAGAGGAGGAGGAGGATATAGTTAGTCAGTACCCAAACAGTGGTAGTGATTGCCAGCTGTTAGGGTGCCAGGCCCTTTCCTCTGTGCTGAGCAGACACTGTTCATTATGACCTCCATTGCCAGAGGAGGGAACTGAGGTACAGAAAGGAGAGAGCATTTCCCCGAGGGGATTCAGCCAGGAAGCAGTGATGGTATAATTCAAACCTCCCCTGTGCCAGAGCCTGGGGCTTAACCCTGAGCTCCACTGCCCACAAATTACAACTTAATTACCCCTGGGAGAAATTTTCTGACACGTATGGAGATAGAGGTGGGACGGGGGGGGCTCACTTATTGTGGGGGTATAGGAAGATCCTTGTCTTGCTCTGATTCGCACACATCGTGCTCTCCCCCACCCATTTCTCTGTGTTCTGTCTCTACCTGCATCTCTTGCTTTGTTCCCCAAATAAGACCAAATACTAGGTGGGTGCAGGAGTTTGCAGGCCTCAGAAAAAATGAGACGTCTGATACACTGAGTTGTGAAAGCACATCCTGAGTTAGTCCATGAGTCCGTAAGTGACAGAGCAAGGGACCCTGTAGGAGAAGGCTTGACATAGGGCAACAGCTATGAGGTTATAAAGATGCACGTTTACTGAGTGGCTCACATCTAATGAGAACAGTCATCTGGTGGGTAGATACTAGAGCTATCTGATTTTATGGGTGAGACAGCTGAGACCCAGAGAGAGCAAGTGCCTTGCCCAGGGTCACTCAAGAAATGATGGAGCCAAGTTATCTGTGATGTGGCAGTAGTGGTGCTGCTGCAGGAGATACTCCTGCCCCACTCTCCATCCTGCAAGGATTCAATTCTTGTGCAGGAGCTGGGATAGCACAAGCCCTGCAATCACAGTCCTGGGTTCAGATCCAGATCCTTGCCCTGCTTCCCCTTCTTGTTGACTTATCCTCCCCCAGGAAATGGGATTTGGTTTCCCTGCCCTGCAACCTGGCAGCAAAGTTCCAGCCTCAGGCACCCTGCCTGGCATCAGTCTGAATTTCCTCACATCTTCACCCACCCCTGCCAAGTTGTCATTGGGTGAAAACAAAAACAGAATGCAGGAAAGGCATGCACCGTGCACCAGGAAGTATCCTAAGAATAACTCACTGGAATCTCAGGCAACCGTAGAATATAGGTACCATCACTACTCGCTTGCCAGAAGTGGAAACCGAGGCACAGGCTGGGAATGTTTCTCAAGTCACCCAGTGAATAAGTAGCCAAGTGAAGTTTGAACCAGGCTGGTTTCTGCAGCCTTACTATTCCTATACTATCTTTTAGAGAAGCAGCCCTCAGAATTGTTTGGCACACACACAATATTTTAATTGTATACATTGCAAATAGTTAAGTATCAGGAAATCACATGAACAGTCCCAATCAGGATTTCTCTTAGGCATGGGGGACAGTGGTGGTGTAATGTCCCTGTTCTTGTGGCAACACATGACTGATGGGGTTGCAAGGCTACCACAAGCACACAGCCCACCCTTCATTTCTCTTGATGACCTAGGGGAGAAGATTGACCCACCTCTCATACACAAAAAAGTACAGCTATTTCTCATGCTTTATTTACAAGGCCCCTACCTTAGCACCACACACACACACACACACACACACACACACACACCCCAAACCTATGAAGAAGGACTCTGTTAAGCTGCTGTAGGACTCTGTTAAGCTGCTGTGGGGCACATCTGTCCAGGGGACTGGGGACCCCAAGGGAAATAACACCCAAGTACTAACTAAATCTAAGTGCAGTTCTAAGTGGGGGAAGGATTTAGGAGTGAGGGTCTTGTGTGTGTACAGGTGGTCCAGACACAGGCTGTCGGTTTCTCCCTATTTCTCCCAGTCTCCAAGGGCTGCCCAGGAAGGTGGAAAGGTGCGTCCATACCCGCAGCCGGCAGTGGTCTGTCCTAGTTGCAGCTCTGAGGCCTGCCTTGAATGGCTCATGTTTAGTCTACACACGAAGTCCTCCTTTCTGGCCCCCAGTGCTGCTCAGATTTCTGTTTCCATCTCTCACCTGTCCTGTGAGCTCCAGGGCATTTTTCCCAGCCCAACATGTCCAAAGAACACTCTTGGCTCAACCCCCACTGAATGTCATCTCCCTCTCTTTCCACCATCCCAAACCTAGGAGTCTTCTTTGACTTCTCTTGCTGCACTTCCCTCATGCAAAACATCAGCAAATCATCAGCTCTACCTTTAAAATAGTGCCAGAGCCCAACTACTTCACATGCTTCTGAAGCTGCCACTCCTGCCCCTAATAATCTGTTCCCTCACATAGCAGACAGAGGATCTGCTTAAAACATTAGCCCAGAAAAAAGAAAAAAAAAATTAGCCCAGGAGATGCTGCTGCTAGGAATCTTCCATGCCCTTGCCTGCTTCTCTCTCCCCACATCTCTTGGCCCAGATTCATCCCACTCCAGCCATGCAGGCCACCTGTCTGTTCCTCGTGCATGGCTGAGCTCTTTCTTGCCTCAAGGCCTCTGCGGATGCTGCTGCTTCTGCCTAGAATCCTCTTCCCAAAGCAGTCTCCTTCACCTCTTGCAGGTATGGCTTAAGTGTCATCTTCTTGGAGATGCCCTCCTGCCACCCTAGGCTCCCTTTAATTGTTCTTTAGCCAGTTCCACAGTGTATGTATAACTTGTTCTGTCTTTGCTGCTCACCCCCCTCAGTTGTGAACTGTGAACTCTAGAAGAACAGGGACTTTGTCTTCTGTTTTCCCCCTCCCACCACACCCCAATTTCTCTAGCGCCCTCCACACTGGGCCTGGTTCACGGCAGGTGCTCAATGAATACGTGCTAAAACGGACACAGGATCTCCACTGCCTAGCAGTAGCTTTCCAAGACCCGGCTGGCCTCGTCCCCAGACCCCGGCAGGGTCCCCAAGGACCGGGCACCGTCAGCGGCGACCCGGCAGGGGCCTGAGTCCAAGGGCAGGGTCCTGGAGGCACGCTCTGGTGGCTGGCGCTGCTCCTCCCCGAGGCTGTGGCGCAGGCGGCAGCGGTGCCAGCAGCGGCGGATCTCCGACTGTACCTGCAATGCGACGGCACTCAGAACATTCCCTGCGTTCCCGGCCATTCCCTGTGCGGCCGCCAGAGGGCGCGGGCGGCGAGCCGAGGCCGTCCCTACCTCCTTGTTGATGAAGCAGTACAGGACGCTGACCAGGAAGCCCTGCCGGAGGACGCAAGGGGTTAAATCACAAGTGGGGGCAGGATCACAAACACCCCCTGAATGAGCTCGGACCCTTACCTCGTCCCAGGCCACCTAGTCTGCCACTACCCTGGTCCTAGGCCATATCAGTCACCCTCGAGCTCCAGGCTCCCCTTTGCCTGCCTCAGTTTGTTGAGCAAGAAGGGGGTTAATTAAAAGGGAACCTCCGAGGTAGGCCACCTAATTATGATAACGGCTTCCCCATTTTCTGACCCACTTGGGCAAGTGCTTAACCCCTTTGTGACTCCGTTTCTTCATCTGTAAAATGGGGTCATATTATAGTGCTGGTTGTCAGAATTAAGATAATCCTATGCAAGAAGCTGGAGTGCCCAGCACACAGTGTTAAACCTTTTTCTTAAGCTTGTTACAACTTTTTATTATATATATTACATATTATTAATAAATTAATTTTACTTAAGAATTATCTTTATATAAGTTTATACATTTTGCATATAAACTTTAAATATAAAATATATAGGGACACCTGGGTGGCTCAGTGGTTGAGCATCTGCCTTTGGCTCAAGTCATGATCCTGGGGTCCTGGGCCAGGATCGAGTCTCACATCAGGCTCCCCTTGGGGAGCCTGCTTCTTCCTCTGCCTATATCTGTGCCTCTTTCTCTGTCTCATGAATAAATAAATAAAATCTTTAAAATATATATGTAATATATAATTACAAATAAATTGGTAAACTAGGGCAGCCCCGGTGGCGCAGCGGTTTGGCGCCGCCTGCAGCCCGGGGTGTGATCCTGGAGACCCGGGGTCGAGTCCCACATCGGGCTCCTTGCATGGAACCTGCTTCTCCCTCTATCTGTGTCTCTGCCTCTCTCTCTCTCTCTCTGTGTGTGTGTCTCAATATAAAATCTTTAAAAAAATAAATAAATTGGTAAACTAATACAATGAATTATTTATGTTAAGATCTTACAAATCTTATTATTCATTTTCGTGATCCTGTTAAAATCTACCTCTGATCACCTCCCTCTGCTCCCTTGGCTCCTGAATCACTCAAGGAAAAGCCAAGGTACTCACTTGGCCCAGGGATCTGCCCGGGTATGTTACCTCACTGTCATATCTCCCCCTTGCTCCCTGTAGCTCCCACCACTTCAGGCATGTTGGCCTTCTTCCATCGGGAAAGGTACTCTCTTCCACGTTAGGGGTCATCTTCTCGGTGAGGCCCTCACCCACTGTCTATAACCCCATATTTTGTCTGCTTCTCTATTTTCTTGCTTCCCCCCACCCCCACTTCTAGGAATATCTCTCCATCTGACAGTCTTTATATTTTATTTACATTGGATGTTTAGCAATCTGTCTCTCCTGATAGAGGGTAGGGACCATTTGGTTCTTGGCCCGGAAAAGTGCTTGGTACACAGTAAGTGTTCAGTAAATTTTTCCTGAATTTAATGAATGAACGAGCCTTGTGAGGTGAGATCAGTATTGTTTCCACTTAGAGATGAGGAAACTGAGGCCCAGCAAGGAAAAGCAGCATGGCAACTAGGGTTAGGCAGGCAAGCACAGGGTTGTTGGCCTTGAACTTTGGTGACTCCTTACATTTTGTACCTCAGGCACCTCATTTACCTCACCCTAGACTTAGACCCTAGGTGAAGGCCACAGAGCTGCAAAGTTGACCCTGTCCTTGCCTGGGCTGCAATGCCCTCCATCGTCTCTAGGAGGCAGTACTGCTAAGGCTACCTGCTTTGTTCTCTTGGTCCTTCCTACCTCCCCAGCTCTGGACAGAGCTAGCTCAGTATTTTGCCCAGAATATATGAATGAACTTGTGAACATGTTCACACCCTATTGGGTGGCTTCATCAGTGGACGATTGCAGCCCCCATGCTCCTCTGGGGAGGAGGGCCCCAGGACCAGGGGTGTAACCCCGGCACCCCGACTTATCGCCTTAGCACCTGGAATGAGCTGAGGAAGATCTCAAAGCCGAGCTTGGTGAAGCGGAGGGCACCCCGGGCCTGTTCCTCTGTCACCGGAGCAAACACCACCTCGTGGACGCCCAGCAGGGGCACCAGCGTCAGTGTGGAGCGAGCCAGCCTGGAGGTAGAGGGTGGCAGTGGTCCCCCTGCCCCAGGTCCTCTGTCTCGCACCCGGCCCCGCTCCCTCCACGCCCGTCCTGCTCCCTCACCTCAGTCGGTAGTCCGGGCAGCGCATCTGTCGCGTCCTCAGCTTGGACACGAGGATGCCAAGAATGCGAATAAAGATGAGAAAATTAATCTGCAGGGAGAGACAGAGGCTGAGCCGGCCCAATCCTGTCCTGGGGACAGAGGGTAGGCCCCCATTTCCCAGGGTGGGAAGTTCCAGAGGGCCAGGAGGAGTCCGAGTCGGCCGTACCAAGATGGTCATGAGGATAGGGGTGCGTATGATCCACCAAATGGCCTTGACATCGTTCCGCTCCCAGCACCTGGGGGTGGGGGAGTAGAACTAAGAGAAAACCCCAGGACTCACAGGGTCTCGCACCCTCTCGCCAGCTCCGCCCACTTTCCTGAGCGCCACACCCCCGTTCCTTTAAAGCCGCGCCCGCTACGATCCAGGCCTCGCCCCCATCCCGCCCTCTTCCAGGACACCACCTTTCCTAGCTCCCCATTCCTTTAAATCCCATCCACGCCCTCCCAGCCCCTATCTGCCCTCCGAACCCCCCCACGTTTCCATCACAACCCGCCCGAGTCCCTCAGAACTCCGCCCGCCTCCCAGGCCCCATCCCAGACCCCAAGACTCACTGCGTGTTCTCGTACAGGTACCTGACGATCACCCAGGGAATGACGAAAAGCGCGGGGGCCCCTGTGCAGACCCCGACCCCCGCCCCCCACCCCGCCGCAGCTGTCAGCGCGCGCACGGGCCCCGCCAGGCCCAAGACCCGCGGAATTTCCCCCGCCAGGATGGGGAGGCAAAAGCCCAGAGAAGGAAGGAGCACCCCTGAGGCAGACCAGCAGGGTAGTTGGGGGAGTGGAGACGTGCCAGGTTGGGCAGGGGACAGGGTCGGGGCTCACCCCAGCCGAGGAGCAGGTAGCAGCGGAAGTGGCCCCCCTCGGAACCTCCCACGAGCACCAAGAGACTGTGCAGATAGACACCCTCCACCAGCAGCCACGTGTAATTGGCACCCACGCAGTACTGGGTCACGATCTGGGCCGTTCGGCAGGCAGCTAGGGCCTGGGGGAGGGGGCAGTCAGGGCCTCCAGGGTGTCCCCAAGCCTTCCTCCTCCATCCACCTGGTCATTCTTCCACCCTATCTCCTGCCCTCGACTATTTACCTCCTGCTCTGCATCACCAGAGGATGGCGTCTGCGATAGATTTCGCTCTTCTATTCTCTTTCCCTACCCACACGAACTGTCCAGCTCTTACCACTTCAACAATTGGTATTTCCCATCTTGTTGTCAGTTTCCCCCCTACCCCAAATTCCCCCCCAACTATGGCCTCTCTCAGGGACAGCACCAGGACTCCCCCAGCACATAGCTTCTTCACAATCGGTATGACCCAGCTCACTACGGGAAAGTTTTTCTCACCTGGGCCCCCAGCCTCTAGCCTCTCCACCTTTGTCTCGAAGTAACAGATTGGTATCTACCAAATCCCACCCCCCACGGGTTAGTTTCTCCCATCCTGCCACACCCCACCTCCAGCAGAGGGACCCTCTCTCCTTGGTGAAAAACTCCAGGGAGATAATGAGGAAGGAGGTGATGGGGTGGACTAGGAGGAGGCTGAGTTGGAAGGACCCCTCTTCAAATGTGTTTGGAGAGCTCCAGAGAGATAAACTGTTGATAGTGTAGGAGGTAGTAAATGGGTTGGGAATCTCTTGGCCCCACCAGAGGAGGCAAAATCCCAATTTAAGAAAGAGGGGCGATGCTCACCGGGTTCCACAGGACGGGGCCCTGGTCCCCAGGGTAGGGGCCAGGTGGAGGTAGCAAACGGTCTCGCGTGAGGATGGCCGCCGCCCGCAGCATGAAAGACGTGAACAGGTTGATGTGGATGTAGTTGCGAGTGCAGCGCAGCCGCCTAAGGGATTTGGGGCACAGTCTGGGGGGTCCCTGGACACCTGTCCTTGGCCACACAGAGCCCCTTAAATCAAATCACCTCCCAGCCTGTCCCACAGAACCACCATTGGATGCTTGTTGCTAGGGGAGCCTGACTACCCCATCTTACTAGGCAAACTAGAACCCAGTCTCTGCTGCTGTGACTCAAGGCTAGAGGTCCCACCTAAAGAAACTCAAGATGAGCAGGGCTAGCAGCAATGTGGCCAGGGACAGGGAGTAGCCCACGGTGTACATGACCTGCAGCCGCTCCAAAATCAGCCGTTGATCCTAGGTTGGGGTAGGAGAGTGCAGGAGGGTTAGGAGGACACAGGAACAGAGTTCAGTGTTTCCCCCAGGGTCAGAAAGGGGCCCCGCTTTTTGTTCCTGGCTAGCATCCCAGTTTTCTCTTGGGGATCCAACAACCTTGTTTGAGTGGGGCCGACTCCACCTCTCACTCCAGGGCTAAGCATGTGACCAGCCAATCAGAGCATTCTATATAACCCCCTACACACACAGACACACACACACATACACAGTGATTAATGCAGAGTGGATGCATGACCCAAAGTGGCAATCCTTGGACATTACATTAGAGCTATTAAGAACAAAGTTCAGTCTCCTCACAGTCTTGCTTGGTTGATGGTATGTGAGCCTCGTGCTAATTAAGAGGACCACACTTTTCCACCCCACAGAAAAGATGAGACCAGCACAGAGGAAAGCAAAATCATGGTGTGGTGAGAGACAAAAAGATTCCCAACAACATCTTTTGAGCACTAGATCCAGCTATGCCTGAAGCTGTTGTCCTATACTTTTCAATCACAGAAGTCAATATATTTCTCTTCTTTCTCCACTTTTCTTCTCCAACTTATTTAAGTTAGATTTCTATCAGGCAGTCTCCTTAGCTCAGCAGTTTAGCTCCACCTTCGGCCCAGGGCATGGTCCTAGAGACCGGGGATCAAGTCCCACATCAGGCTCCCTGCAAGGAGCCTGCTTCTCCCTCTGCCTGTGTGTCTGCCTCTCTCTCTCTCTCTCTCTGTCTCTCATGAATAAATAAATAAAATATTTTTTAAAAAGTTAGATTTCTATCACTTGGAACCTAGAGTCTTTGAATAGTACAAGGGGTTTCAAGTTTAGCCTGAGGCAGCTGCCTTTTCATCTCTCCCTGCACATTCTGACCTGAATCCCTCAACACTTCTTACCTGAAAAGCCCCATTCTTCTCTGGATTTTCACACTGAGAATGGTCTCTCCAAGGGCCCCATTGGCCATCACTGCCACACTGACGGAGGACAAAGCCTGCAGCCACTGTGGGGACACAAAGGAAGGGATCAGAGGCACAGAGAAACAGAGACTGAAACAGAAAGATAAAAGTAAGACAAAGGCAGAGATAGCCAAAGTGATGTGATGATAATACACCCTTATGCATATTAATTAAACTAATATTCCTAACAAGCCTATGAAAATGACATTATTATCAACCACATCTTACAAAAGAGGAAGCTGGGGCACCTGCCTTCCGCCCAGGGCATAATCCCAGAGCCAAAGAATCAAGTCCCACATAGGGCTTCTGCAGAGCCTACTTCTTCCTCTGCCTCTCTCTGTGCGTCTCTCATGAATAAATAAGTAATTTATTTATTTATTTATTTATTTATTTATTTATTTATTTATTTATTTATTTATTTTAAAGAAGGTGGGCAGCCCGGGTGGCTCAGCGGTTTAGCGCCTCCTTCAGCCCAGGGCCTGTTCCTGGAGTCCCGGGATCGAGTCTCACATAGGGCTCCCTGCATGGAGCCTGCTTCTCCCTCTGCCTGTGTCTCTGCCTTTCTCTCTCTGTGTCTCTCATGAATAAATAAATAAAATATTTTTTTAAAAAAAGGAGCTGAGGCATAAAGAAGTTAAATAAATTGCTCCAGGCCAAATAGCCAGTTAGGATGGAAAGACCAAGACGCCCAGAGAAAATAAGAACTCCGTGATCCTCAGAGAGATAGAGAAGGGGCACTAAGTGGCAGAGCCAGGGTTGGTCAGGCAGACGGAGACACCCAGCCAGAGAGCAGCAGGAGATCAAGTGTAGGCGAACTCGGAGTTGGGGGGTGGGGAGGGGTGCAGTGGTGTCTGGGGCAGGGTTAGAAGTTAATTTCGTCAGGGAAGGGCCTGGGGTCCAGGGGGCACCTCACCGTGACGGTGCCACGGCAGGTACCAGGGGCAGGACGCACGGGCGGTGACGTTGGGTGCAGCGTAGTCCCAGCAGACGTACATATCGAAGGACGCGTTACAGGCGAGGTCTGGGGTGGGCGTGGAGGCCGGACGTCCGCGGGACAGACTGAACATAACCCAAGGCTTCTCGGCGGATCACAAGCAAGCTCCTCCCTAGCCCCGCCCACCTGGAGTGGCCCGGGCCGGCCCGGCCACCGCCCCTCTCACCAGAGCCCAGGCTCCGCCCCACTCGCGCCCCCCTTCGGGCCCCGCCCACCTCATGCAGCCCCGCCCGAGGCCCCGCCCGTTTCAAGCTTCATCCCAGGCCTCTCCCACTGGTCGGAATTGCGTCCCTCCGCGCACTGAGGTCTAGGTCCTTCCCACCCAAGCCAAGCATCACCCAGGCTGCTCCAACCCAGCCCACCCCTACCCCAGACTTCACTCAGGCCCCCCTAAACCGTCAGCCCTAGCCCGACTCAAGCACACCCCTCTCGGCCCTAGTCCTTCCCGCACCCCCGGTCCCCGCTCCCAGTCACACCTGCTGGGGGGTCCACGGCTTCCAGTGTCTCCTGGCACTCTCTGCGGTACCGTTCCCAGCGCTGGTACAGCTCCCCCGCCGTCTGACCGACAGAGTCTGTCTATGGAAAGAGAGCAGGGAGGACACCCCCCACACACTCGACCGATCCCCACTCTCAGGCAGCAGGGTTCAAGTGGGCTAGAGACACCCTACAGGGATTTGAAGAGGTTGCCTTGTTTTGTCCGGGAGTCTTGGGTGGCTTAGAAATCTCTTCTAAGTCTGGAGGGGTGCCTAGACCAGCGGAGCTGCTGTGGAGGGCTGAAAACTTTCAGCAAAATTAGGGGAAGGAGTGGCTGGAAATCATCGGGAGGATTTGAAGGGGAAAGAAGAGATACTGGAAACAACTTGAATCTAGACAGACGGGGCAGTCTTAAAACTCTCTCTTGCAGCGCGGGGAGACTTAAAACCGTCCCTAGACCTCCCTTCTAGCCTTCAACTCCTGCAACTCCTCGGGTCCTCACCTCCGCCCTCCCGAGCAGCGGCCTCCACGACGAGAGCAGCAGTAGCAGCCGCCAAGGCGGACAGATCGGCATTGCGAGGGCGGCAGGGCATGGGGGGCGAGGGCCTGGTCGCGTAGGGACAGTCCGGCCTGAAGGGTCAGGAGGCAGAGTCAGGAGCCTCTGACCTTCGCCTCCAGCCCCAGCGCCACCCGCTCTGAGCTTCAAACAAGCGGACTAGGAGGCAGGGGCCCCCTCCCCAGGCCCCCAGAAGTGATGACTCGAGGGGTGGGGGAGGGTGGGCGAGGCCAAGATCCAGCACGTGATTCCTAGGCCCGCCCCCAACTGTTGCTGGGGCAGCAGCGGTGGAAGGGGGGTGTTTGCTGAGGGCGCGGTTGCCCTAGAGCTGCTCCCAGCGGAAGCGCTAATGTCACCCTGAGTCTAGACCTAGAGTTCTGGAGAATCTGGGGGCTGCCTTGGAGAGGAAGGCATAGAAACTGTCTGGCATGAGCTCGAAATAACCGTCGGAGTTCCCGCTCTCCAAGCCCAGAGGGTTTTCAAATGGCAGATCGGGAGGATCCCGACCTTATAAAACTTGACCGCTGTAGGGGCACCTGGGAAGTTCAATAGGTTAAGGGGTCTGCCTTTGCTCAGCTCATGATCCCGGAGTCCTGAGATCAAGCGCCACATCGGGCGGGCTCCGAGTTCAGCAGCCTCTGCTTCACTCCCTCTGCCCCTCCCCCTATTTGTGCTCTGTCTCTGTCTGTTTCTCTCTCAAATAAATAAATAAAATCTTAAAAAAAAAAAAAAACTTGCCCGCTGTGGATGAAGCCCAGAGTCAATGGAACAACCCTCCCCCTAGGGACTAGAGAGGAGCCAGACTCTGGGCTTAGGTTTGCAGGGGCCCACATGCCTGAAAATCCGTCTAACCCCAGTAACTCCCCCACAGCACCATGTGGAGAAAGGGGGAAGCGGGGAAAATCTCAGAGGGAGCCCCAGAAATGGTTAAGACAGAAATACATAAACTGAACAGAATGAGATAACACAGCAAGAGACCAGAGAGCAGAAGACAGACAAAAATGTGGGTTAGGAAACAAACAGGGGATAGAGACCTGGTGAGAGACACAGAAAATGATCCAAGGAGAGATAAACGTAGAGAAACCGAACCATCCAGAGGCTAAACAGAGACTGGGAGACACGGAGACAGAGATATGAAGAGATGGGCAGACAGAAGGAAGGATGAGGGCACAGAGAGACAAAGAGAGAAAAGCATGAGCTAAGACACAGAGAAAGAGGGGACCCCGGGGACTTGAGTGGGACATGGGGGCAGGGGAATGAGCTGGGATGGGGAAGCCCTCACCTGTCCCCAGATCTTCCCTTGATCACTCACTTGGGCTGCTGCTGCCTCTGCCGCTGCCTCCACTGCCTCTCCTGGGCTCTGGAGGAGTTGACAGCCTGGGGTGGTGGGAGAGGGCGGGGCCAGGGAGCAGGAGGGGGAGCTCTGGGGCTGAGACCCAGAGTCTGGGGCCAGTGGTACGTGAGGATCATTGCCACTCAAGGTCACGTGGAAGAGCAGTCACAGAGCCGGGCCCCCAGTCTTTCACAGTGTCCCACCCATCCCACCCATCCCACCCAGCCATGGCACACAGCCAGAGTCATGCAGCCACACACAGTGTCACATGTAGTCCCATTCACCAAGCCATGGAGAGGCACAGCACAGAGGCACACACTGAGCCTCACTGCAAATATATTTTGCTGATGGTCACTTACAGCCACGCAATCCACAGTCACATTCAGAGAACCGTCTCTCCCCTACAGGTTAACAGGCATCCACAGTGACAGCTGTGCGGCTGGAGTGCAGGCTCCTCCACTCACAGAGTAACACAATCACCACTTCCCACAGTGCTGATGATCCTGGGCAGTCACACACGCAGTCACACAATCATTAGGTCCCGTCACAAACGCCTTCTGTCTCCTCACTGGCAGTCACCTCTAGGTCCCCAGCGTCACTCAGCACAGCTTTGGCATAGAGCAGAGGCTAGAAGAATGACCGTCGATGACAGACACGCACCCATATGTGGTCCCTCACAGACATGTAATCCTTTGGTGCCATCACCTGTGACACACAAGGTCACACAACCATACCCATTACCACTCTCACAGTTCACACGGTCACCAGAGTCTACAGTCATATCCCGACAGCATACCTTCTCCAACTGTCACTAAGGCACACACACTCGGTGTCACGTCGTCACGCTGTCACCCTCACAGGGTCACATCCAGAGCCATGAGGATACGGACACTCAACTCTGCACCCTGTCCTCACCCGCACTCATGAGTCCTACATAGTCACACACACATCACATGCCACGATGCCACCATCACAGCATCCCATGCATCCCCACAGATGCACAAAGGATCACACACCATCATGTTGCGATCACACTCGAACCCACAGCCTCACTAGGTCTCAAGGTCACAGTCACCACCAAATCATACACCTTCCCACAGTCTCCACTTCCAGTCTCTTCCTTTGCCCTAAAACACAGGGAACATCTCATCTACATGAGAGGGGAAGCCTTAAAAACCGAGTTCCAGTTCTCAGCGTTCTCATCCCCCACTAGTCTCATCCCCCACTAGCACAGATTCGTGCACATTAGTCAACTAGTAACACTCAGGAACACACACTCCCCTGGGACCTAGGAGATAAGTGGGGCAGAGGTGAATATGCCCACTTTGCAGAGGAGAAACTGAGACCCCAAGGCACAGCCAGGGCAGGGAGTAGGGGGGATACGTCCTGCACTAGGAGATGGAAGAGAGCGGGGTGGTGGGGGGGGGGTCCTGGCTCCCTGTCCTCCAGCTGGCCTTCCTGCTCCTTGCCCCACATTCCTGGCGCCCTCTGGGTCCTGGGAAAGGCTCAGTTCATGGAGTGGAGAGGGAGAGGGGTCTGAGATAACCCAGCACCTCGGGGAGAGGCTGGGGTTGGGAGGGAGTCTCTCCTTGGCCCCAAGAGAGCCTGGAGGGCCACTTGGTTAGGGTTGGGAAGGTGGGGCAGGGGGGGTGGCTGTGTAGGGGGAGGGGAGAGACTGGGAAAGAGGGGAGCTGTGGAGAGGAATTAAGGTGGTGAGAGAGACAGGAAGAGAAACCAAGGGCCCAGAGAGACCAGAGACAGACAGACAGGAAGAGACGGAGATGAGAGAGATCAAGAGAGACATAGAGGAAGAGATCAGAAGAGACAGAGAAAGATACACAGAGAGACAGGGAGAGAGACATAGACGATGAAAGAGAGAGAGACAGAGAGTTAGGCGGACAGGGACAGTGAACAGGCCACACTGAGAGGAAGATGGGGAGAGTGGAGGGAGAGAGAGCCTGAAAGGTGGGCCCTGAGGAGAGGCGAGCCAGCTAGGACGCTGCTGTGGCTTGGAGCTCCTCACTCGCCCCTGCAGGGGACCCCGGTTCACGAGGTGCACAGGAGAGGCGGTGTCCAGGTCCTGGACTGGCCCTCTTCCCACTGCAGCCCTCCTGGGTTCTCTGCATTCTCCCAGGGTCCGGGGAGAGGGCAGCAGGGACACACACACACACATGCACACACTCACACACATGTGCACATACATACACATGCATGCACACGCAGCCTTCTCTGATTCCCACACCTCTTTCTCTGTGTGTGTCTCTCTCTCACTGTCTCCCATCTTTAACCTTTCCCATTTCTCTTCCCCTTGTCCCATCTCCTATCAGCTCTCAGGGTGCCATCTCTGGGTGTCTCTCTCTCCATTGCCTCAGGTCCTGTGGCCTGGTGGGTGTTGTGGGCGTCCCACCCCCCCCCCCCCCGCTGGGAGCAGGCAGTGACCCTCAAGGGACAAGGTGGCTGGTGGCAGGGAAGAAGCTGGAAGGCCTATGCCTGCCCTGCTGGGGCTGTGACCAAGCAGAGCCTGTGGGAAGCAGGCAAGCGCCTGGTGTGCCAGCAGATGGTACAGGAGAAATGAGGCAGAGAGAGATGGGAAGAAGGGGCACCCCATGGGGACCAAGGCCAGAAATGTGAGGCTGCAGGGCCCCCCCTGAGATTCAGGACTGCAGATAGATGAGGCCTGAAAGACCCACAGAGATCTACAGAGACGCGTGTGTGCTTGCACTTGCAGATACACACAAATATGGTCCAGAGAAAGCAGGAACCCAGAGACAGAAAAGAGACAGAGATCCAGAGACAGTGGCCTTGAGAGACAAACACAGACATGGGATCCAAGTGAGAGACAAAGACCCAAAGAGAAACCAAGATATAGTGACATGAAACCCAGAAAGAGACAGTAAGAAACAGAGACAGAGACCCACAGAGATGAGACCTGAGAGATAGAGATAAACAGACAGGAATCCAGAGAGAGAGAGATGGAGATAGGGATGGAGGGATGGTTCAGATAGAGAGGTTTGGAACACAGACAGATGGGGGTGGGAGTAAACTCTCAAAGACACAATCAGACAGAGATGAGGCAGAGACGCCTAGCACCCCTCGCCCTCTTCTGGGAGGGGTGCTTCTCCCCGCCCCCACCTCAGCAGCCCGTTGCCATAGAGACCTCCCCAGATCCTGAGGGCAAATATTGTCCTGGCTAGAAGCAGCGGGGCTGTGTTGACATAATCTCCTGCTGGTGGGGTGGGGGCTCCAGGGGCCCAAGAGGCCAGGATGGGGGCAGGAGAGCAGAGGGGCTCTCAGCCGGGGCCCTAGACAGCTCCAACTACCCCCTACCCACCTTGGAAGCAATGTGTAAACCTCCCCACCCTGGGAAAAGACACTGAGAGATTAAAACCTGTAGCCCTGGCTGCCTTCTGGTGGTGGCGGGCCAGCCCCGAAGCTCCTTTCCCAGCGTCAAGAGCAGGCTGGGCTGGGCATTTTTCTCCAGGTTTCTAGAATCTTCCCCCAGCCACTGTTCTGGCCCAGGACCCTTCTCAACTGAGTCACATCCCTCTTTTTTTCCATCTGCAGCCCCACCTCGCATAGGACAGCTAGGTGGCCAGAGTGGTCATACTAAGGCACAAACTCTCCCATCCCTCTCCAGCTCAGAACCTGCCATGGCTCCCTAGTGCCCTCAGGAGGAAGCTCAGGCTCCCCTCCACCACCTCCAAGGCCTTTGCTGAGCTCCCCAGTCTTCTCTCCAAGATGTCCCACATCTTCAGACTCTTCCCCAGCCCTTGACCTT